TTTGTAAAGGAAATCAAACAATATCTGCTAGATATATACCTTTCAAAATAAAATCAATTTATATGTTAGTTAGTGGCGTTGAAGTTTAGTTCAAAGACCCACATTTTAAAGGAGGAATTAAATAGACTTATACTACAGATTAAACCTGCTTAGATGATTACCATGTAATTTATAATTATTATACATAAAGTTTCCAAAATATCAAAATCTGCTATGATAATTTATCTAATGTTTTATAATATTAAAAGAATATTTTGCTTATTCATCAGAAATAACCATGTATTAACATATCAATCCCACCATCCTTTTCATCCAAAAATATATTTTTTTAGAATTAATAAATTATTGATAGTGGATATTAAAAAAATTGAATGAATATATATTTATGACTTATATTATAGACATGTATATGTATTAATTAAAATAAACATGTGGATTCTAATCATTTATAATTGTATAAATTGTTTTGTAAGCTAAGAACATTTATATTGTTGAAACTATTAGTTTAAGTTGAATATAAGTAATATGTGTTCAAATTCAAGAACAGAAAAATACATTAATTTCTAAATAGGAATTCTCAACAATGATTTGTTTTTTAATTTAGGAATTAAAATATATATTTTAATAGCTTAATTTTAATATAGCATTAATACTAAAGTATTTATCAAATTATAAGAGAGTATTTAATAATAATTTACTAATATGTATATAATAAATAAAATAATGATTCATTATTGATTTTGAATGGATTTAATATATGCAACCAATTCTATTAATATTTCTTTAGTTTGCATTTTCTTTTTATTATTGTCATTTATTTTAATTAATTCATTATAAACTTTCATAAAATTCTGGTTCTAATGAATTTCTATTAGTTATTATTGTAGTAATTCTCTATTCTCAAAAATTAATTTAACTTATTTCTTAATTAATCTTGGCCAATTCAATTCATATTTCTTTCCATTATTATTTGCTTTTATTGGATATTATCTAGTAATAATATGATCTAAATTTTCATCAGGATCCTATTTATTGCAAATTACACCATGATATTATTTCATATAACTTTTAAATTTAGGATCAATTAGAAATCTTAAATTATCAAAGAATATTATCTAATTTAAATTAATAACAATATCTCCTGATAAATCAAGATATTTAATATTTAAAGATTCAATATCATATTTTGAATAAGCAAAAGAATCAAAATTAAATAGTTTATTAATTAAATTATATTTAATTGAATTCCTTATTATAAACCTAAGAATTATAAATAAATTAACAATATTATATGATTTTATAATTGAATAAAAAAATTGGGAAAAAGCATTAATATACTTTAAATAATAATAATAAAATGATATCGCATTATTCTATTTAAGTATTTAATTAATTTAAATTAGGTGTAATATTATTGGAATTGAATTAATGTACTAAATCATAAAAAATGTTTAACACATTAAAAAAAGAATATCCAAAATTTTTTGAAGATTAAATTAAAACAATGAAAACAAACTAATTAATTAATCAAAATAATTTAGCATAATTATTATTAATAGGCATAATATTAATTTCTATTATTAGGACATTCCTTATTTGAAACTAAACAATATAATTCAGCAATCAGTATAAGCGATAGGATCTTATAAATTGATGACAATAATAAAAATGCTTTTATGGGAAAAAGTAATAATTCATATATATTAAGTTGCATCATTAATCATGTTATCATAATATCAATAAGCTATTCAAGTTTAAAATAACTGTTTAAAAACAAACATAAAAAAAAGTGTTTTAATGTGTTTTTAAGGTTATTATATATTATTATTATTAGGAACATTTCTAGCTTAATAATTTTAATTTAATGAAGCAATGATATGTTATAATGATGCAATTTAATCAGATCCAAATTATGTTGATGCGTATTATAATAAAGGTAAGGCATATAATATCATTATCTATAGCAAACTTATGTTTTAGATTATTACAATATGAAGATGCAATTAATTATTTTGATAAGGTAATTGAACTTGATCCATATGACGCTGATGCATATAACAATAAAGGATAAGCACTAGAACAATTGAATAAATATGAACAAGCATTCATCTGTTTTGAGAAAGCAATTTAATATGATCCAAATGATGCATTAGCTCATTACAATAAAGGTTGATATTTATTCTATTATTATAAAGGCTGTTCATTATTTAAAACCTAAAACTATTTAGATGCTATTATTTGCTATAATAAAGCACTTTAGCTTAATCCAACTTGGTTATTACCATATGTAGGGAAAGGTTTATCATTTATTATCTAATTAATAGGAGACTCTTTATAAGCCCTAAATTAGATAAAAGAGGCTATCATAACTTTAAAATTGGCAATTAGATGCAACCGTGTTCCTCTTTATATAAACTAAAATATAAAACAACTTAAAAATTCATGTTGAATTTAATACAAATTATTCAATTATTCATAAATGAAAGATAGCTAATGAAAATCTATTTCTGAAGTAGAAAATTACTTCTAATAGCTGACTATTAATAACAAATAAAATATTGAATATAAATTATTGAGATGAGTATGATTTCGTTTATAAAAATCTTATTTATAGAACCTCTTTTGATTTATAAAGGTTGCGTAGAATCCACTGGAAGTGAATGTAGTAATAATGGTTGGACTAATGGCAATTAAGTAACTTAATGTTAAGGAATAAATTATATGGGATCATATACAGGAGGACATCGAATTTAGAAAAGATTTTGGTGCCCATCAGATAAAAAGATGAAACTTTCATTCACTTTGGCTAAATTTGATTCCTGGGATGAAGAATCTGTTTTTATTTACTAAGATGGCTAACTAATTGACAAAATTACTCATGCTCCTTTTGATGGATCTAATTTGTGTTAACTTTGGTTCCCAGACGTATTGGATTACAGATCGTATAATTTTTAGTTGTCAAAAGGATAAAACTATGTTACCTTTTCATTAGTTGATAATTTATAAACTGAGAGCGAAGGTAATGCTAAACCATCTAATTATAGAATCATGGGGAATTAGAGATATCAAATTACAGGTTGTTAGTCCCTGTATAGATTTTTATAGTGAATGTAATTATTAGGGAGATTTGTGGAAAGTTTGCTAAGGAAATCAAACAATATCTGCTAGATATATACCTTTCAAAATAAAATCAATTTATATGTTAGTTAGTGGCGTTGAAGTTTAGTTCAAAGACCCACATTTTAAAGGAGGAATTAAATAGACTTATACTACAGATTAAACCTGCTTAGATGATTACCATGTAATTTATAATTATTATACATAAAGTTTCCAAAATATCAAAATCTGCTATGATAATTTATCTAATGTTTTATAATATTAAAAGAATATTTTGCTTATTCATCAGAAATAACCATGTATTAACATATCAATCCCACCATCCTTTTCATCCAAAAATATATTTTTTTAGAATTAATAAATTATTGATAGTGGATATTAAAAAAATTGAATGAATATATATTTATGACTTATATTATAGACATGTATATGTATTAATTAAAATAAACATGTGGATTCTAATCATTTATAATTGTATAAATTGTTTTGTAAGCTAAGAACATTTATATTGTTGAAACTATTAGTTTAAGTTGAATATAAGTAATATGTGTTCAAATTCAAGAACAGAAAAATACATTAATTTCTAAATAGGAATTCTCAACAATGATTTGTTTTTTAATTTAGGAATTAAAATATATATTTTAATAGCTTAATTTTAATATAGCATTAATACTAAAGTATTTATCAAATTATAAGAGAGTATTTAATAATAATTTACTAATATGTATATAATAAATAAAATAATGATTCATTATTGATTTTGAATGGATTTAATATATGCAACCAATTCTATTAATATTTCTTTAGTTTGCATTTTCTTTTTATTATTGTCATTTATTTTAATTAATTCATTATAAACTTTCATAAAATTCTGGTTCTAATGAATTTCTATTAGTTATTATTGTAGTAATTCTCTATTCTCAAAAATTAATTTAACTTATTTCTTAATTAATCTTGGCCAATTCAATTCATATTTCTTTCCATTATTATTTGCTTTTATTGGATATTATCTAGTAATAATATGATCTAAATTTTCATCAGGATCCTATTTATTGCAAATTACACCATGATATTATTTCATATAACTTTTAAATTTAGGATCAATTAGAAATCTTAAATTATCAAAGAATATTATCTAATTTAAATTAATAACAATATCTCCTGATAAATCAAGATATTTAATATTTAAAGATTCAATATCATATTTTGAATAAGCAAAAGAATCAAAATTAAATAGTTTATTAATTAAATTATATTTAATTGAATTCCTTATTATAAACCTAAGAATTATAAATAAATTAACAATATTATATGATTTTATAATTGAATAAAAAAATTGGGAAAAAGCATTAATATACTTTAAATAATAATAATAAAATGATATCGCATTATTCTATTTAAGTATTTAATTAATTTAAATTAGGTGTAATATTATTGGAATTGAATTAATGTACTAAATCATAAAAAATGTTTAACACATTAAAAAAAGAATATCCAAAATTTTTTGAAGATTAAATTAAAACAATGAAAACAAACTAATTAATTAATCAAAATAATTTAGCATAATTATTATTAATAGGCATAATATTAATTTCTATTATTAGGACATTCCTTATTTGAAACTAAACAATATAATTCAGCAATCAGTATAAGCGATAGGATCTTATAAATTGATGACAATAATAAAAATGCTTTTATGGGAAAAAGTAATAATTCATATATATTAAGTTGCATCATTAATCATGTTATCATAATATCAATAAGCTATTCAAGTTTAAAATAACTGTTTAAAAACAAACATAAAAAAAAGTGTTTTAATGTGTTTTTAAGGTTATTATATATTATTATTATTAGGAACATTTCTAGCTTAATAATTTTAATTTAATGAAGCAATGATATGTTATAATGATGCAATTTAATCAGATCCAAATTATGTTGATGCGTATTATAATAAAGGTAAGGCATATAATATCATTATCTATAGCAAACTTATGTTTTAGATTATTACAATATGAAGATGCAATTAATTATTTTGATAAGGTAATTGAACTTGATCCATATGACGCTGATGCATATAACAATAAAGGATAAGCACTAGAACAATTGAATAAATATGAACAAGCATTCATCTGTTTTGAGAAAGCAATTTAATATGATCCAAATGATGCATTAGCTCATTACAATAAAGGTTGATATTTATTCTATTATTATAAAGGCTGTTCATTATTTAAAACCTAAAACTATTTAGATGCTATTATTTGCTATAATAAAGCACTTTAGCTTAATCCAACTTGGTTATTACCATATGTAGGGAAAGGTTTATCATTTATTATCTAATTAATAGGAGACTCTTTATAAGCCCTAAATTAGATAAAAGAGGCTATCATAACTTTAAAATTGGCAATTAGATGCAACCGTGTTCCTCTTTATATAAACTAAAATATAAAACAACTTAAAAATTCATGTTGAATTTAATACAAATTATTCAATTATTCATAAATGAAAGATAGCTAATGAAAATCTATTTCTGAAGTAGAAAATTACTTCTAATAGCTGACTATTAATAACAAATAAAATATTGAATATAAATTATTGAGATGAGTATGATTTCGTTTATAAAAATCTTATTTATAGAACCTCTTTTGATTTATAAAGGTTGCGTAGAATCCACTGGAAGTGAATGTAGTAATAATGGTTGGACTAATGGCAATTAAGTAACTTAATGTTAAGGAATAAATTATATGGGATCATATACAGGAGGACATCGAATTTAGAAAAGATTTTGGTGCCCATCAGATAAAAAGATGAAACTTTCATTCACTTTGGCTAAATTTGATTCCTGGGATGAAGAATCTGTTTTTATTTACTAAGATGGCTAACTAATTGACAAAATTACTCATGCTCCTTTTGATGGATCTAATTTGTGTTAACTTTGGTTCCCAGACGTATTGGATTACAGATCGTATAATTTTTAGTTGTCAAAAGGATAAAACTATGTTACCTTTTCATTAGTTGATAATTTATAAACTGAGAGCGAAGGTAATGCTAAACCATCTAATTATAGAATCATGGGGAATTAGAGATATCAAATTACAGGTTGTTAGTCCCTGTATAGATTTTTATAGTGAATGTAATTATTAGGGAGATTTGTGGAAAGTTTGCTAAGGAAATCAAACAATATCTGCTAGATATATACCTTTCAAAATAAAATCAATTTATATGTTAGTTAGTGGCGTTGAAGTTTAGTTCAAAGACCCACATTTTAAAGGAGGAATTAAATAGACTTATACTACAGATTAAACCTGCTTAGATGATTACCATGTAATTTATAATTATTATACATAAAGTTTCCAAAATATCAAAATCTGCTATGATAATTTATCTAATGTTTTATAATATTAAAAGAATATTTTGCTTATTCATCAGAAATAACCATGTATTAACATATCAATCCCACCATCCTTTTCATCCAAAAATATATTTTTTTAGAATTAATAAATTATTGATAGTGGATATTAAAAAAATTGAATGAATATATATTTATGACTTATATTATAGACATGTATATGTATTAATTAAAATAAACATGTGGATTCTAATCATTTATAATTGTATAAATTGTTTTGTAAGCTAAGAACATTTATATTGTTGAAACTATTAGTTTAAGTTGAATATAAGTAATATGTGTTCAAATTCAAGAACAGAAAAATACATTAATTTCTAAATAGGAATTCTCAACAATGATTTGTTTTTTAATTTAGGAATTAAAATATATATTTTAATAGCTTAATTTTAATATAGCATTAATACTAAAGTATTTATCAAATTATAAGAGAGTATTTAATAATAATTTACTAATATGTATATAATAAATAAAATAATGATTCATTATTGATTTTGAATGGATTTAATATATGCAACCAATTCTATTAATATTTCTTTAGTTTGCATTTTCTTTTTATTATTGTCATTTATTTTAATTAATTCATTATAAACTTTCATAAAATTCTGGTTCTAATGAATTTCTATTAGTTATTATTGTAGTAATTCTCTATTCTCAAAAATTAATTTAACTTATTTCTTAATTAATCTTGGCCAATTCAATTCATATTTCTTTCCATTATTATTTGCTTTTATTGGATATTATCTAGTAATAATATGATCTAAATTTTCATCAGGATCCTATTTATTGCAAATTACACCATGATATTATTTCATATAACTTTTAAATTTAGGATCAACTACTAATTCTCTCATATCAGTTATTCGATATCCAATTTTTAAGTTATAGTAATCCATTTTCAATGTTTTGAGTAATAATGGGAATGGAATTTGTTTTGATACTAAATATGTGATAAATGTTTTAAAAAGCGGATTCATACTATCTGCTCTTCTTTCTATTGATTATTCTTCTAAATCTCCACCTCTTTCTATGTTATTTATGATTTTTTTTTCTAGTTTAAATTTGATTCTATATAAAAATGTGCCAATCCTTAGGATGTTTGAACCATATTTAGCATATTCTAAATCCTCTATTAATATATTCTATAATAATTATTAGATTTCTTTTCCACAAATATTCCAAATCGATGTTAAGAAGTCTTCAAAGGCAGTATTATGAAAGACTTATATGAATTAATCTGTGTTAACATGAGTCATTGAATGAAGAAATTCAATATATTAGATTAGAGCTCCATTCAATTTCAAACTCAGAAATATTGGATATTCTTTTTAGCAAATAGAGTAAACTTACTCGTAACCAATTGCCCCTTTTGAAAAAATACTGTCATCAATCTTTAATAAATTCAAACAAGTTTTCATTCTTGGTATTTCAAACATTTTTTAAATTTCTTTAACTTATGACTTAATAGCAATACACTTCTTCTTATCAGGTGTGTCTTTAAAGAATAAAAAGGTAAGTAACTCTGGGATTACTATTTCTTGTTCTTTTAATAACATAAGCACTACTTTCAAAACAAATTAAGGAAATTTCTCTGACTTAACTTAATCAAGACTTTCTCTTTTGTATTTTAATTTTTCATGAAATTCTTTAAAATGCTTTACCAATTGTATTATTATATCCTTTGATTCTTGCAAATTAATTAAACTAATCTAACTATGAATTTAATCTAGTATATCAAATTGCTTCTAATTGAATTGATTAGTAAAATCAAATTTTGAATTTAATAGCTTTATACTAAGTAATATAATTTCTTCATCAGTAGTTTCTATTAGAGCATCATATAAGCTTTTGTAAATCTCTGATCTTAAATCAAAATTAAATTTCTAAAGCATTGTATCAAGTATTAATAGAAGATCTTCTTTGTAATGAATTTCAAATGATGTAGGTGTGATTTTTAAAAAGAATACTAATGCTGGAACTGGCTATTCTAATTATAACAATTAAATTAAATTCTTTCTGATACTTTATTTTAGTGTTTTCTCTCCATGTTTAAGTCTGCTCTAAACTATTTTTAATATTTCCTGTGTATTGTAAATTGCATCAAAACTTGTTGAGTATATGTCCTTTAAGTATTCCACATAGTCAGGATCAAAGTTTGAGAAAAAATGTTTCAATAATTGGAAATCCTATTAATAAGAAACAAGCATTTGATCCTTTACACTTTCAACATCTAACAATTTGTGAAACCTTGCTTGTTTACAACACTGCTTAGCCTCTATTTTTTTCATTAAATTATTTTTCAAATCCTATTTTACTTCTTCATTATATGACCAATTAATTCAAACCAATTTTATTTTCCTAGTTTTATTTATAATTTTTATTCATATATTTATGTCATTTAAGAAAAATACGAATTAATGAATGAAATCCAATGAGTTCAAATGATGTAGGAATTTATTAGGGCATTATAAGATTTATTGACATAGATGATATTACCTATTACATTCAAATCGAGTGGATACTGGCATAAATTTTATTAGTATTGTTTTGACTTATAATGCAACAATATATGGAATAGTTCATTATTTGCAAAAATTTAGGGTAAGTAATAAATTCATTTAATTTTTATTTCATTGATTAATAACAAATTAAAGTAATTTAATTTAATAATATTAATTGGGTTATTAATTTCTTGCAGTTATTAACTAACATAAATTTTAGTAATCAAATTCATAAAATAAATAAAGAATATTATTTTTGATTTTAGTATATTTATTTGAACATATAAAAGTAATATAATAAATTATTAATATTTATTTATTTTATTAATTAATTCTTTTAATCCTATTTTCTTGTTATTTACAATTATATTGTAAATTTGAATTTTTCTACGAAACCCTTAATTTAGTTAGAATGGACATATGCTTAGCTAAACTATAAATTATTTTTAGTAATTCCACATTTTAATATCTATTATTCGTTAATTGGATTCACCAATTATCATACTGTTAATAATTTTTGATGATAACCCCCTTTAATCAGGAGTATTCCTTTTCTTTATAACATTAAATTTTTTTTTTTTAAAAAAAAGATTTTAAAAAGTTGATTCAATTTATCCTTCCATCAACATTTGTTAGCATATTTATGGTAATTTCACCATTATTCATTAATATTAAAAAAAAAACAGAAATATATTTCATTTCACTCTATATATTTATGTAAATAATATAGCATAAGAAAGAATACATAGGTTTGGTAAATTTTTGATTTGCTGCTGTATTTCCTGTAAATCAACTTTACTACTGTTGAAATAATTAGTCTTTGATATTTGATATCCATTTTCTAGATGATGGCAGAGAAATTCAATTAAATTAATAATTTGTCCTCTTATTTTAAATATATCAAAAGGTTTGTGATAGAATGATTTTTCATTTATAAATGAGTATGAAAAGAAACAAAATCTAAAAGTGTTATCCTTAACATCTCAAGTTGAATAATAATTTTATTAAATAGGATTGAATTTAATAGTTTGTTTCCTTCTTGCCTTCATATATTTAATTAGATTAAAAATGCCAATCTTATATCAAATCGTGCCATAATTAGATATTAATTGAAGATATGTTGAACTTTTCGTTTCTAGGCCTCTGGATAAAATGTATAACTCATTATTTGTTAATAAAAATACAATCATATTATATTATCTTGTAAAAGAACAAGTAAGTATACATTTATAACCTTTATTATTACCAAAAGGTTCAATTTTTCTTAAATTTGTTAAAATTAAGATAAATATTAATTCATTAATTTATACATTCATATTCATTCACTCTTTTATGCGAATATTTTACTTAAATCAATTCCATCCTTGGAAATAAACTTAGAATTCTTAATATCGGCATCGTAACAAGAAAACTTTTTGATACCTTCACCAAATCTGAATTTTTAAGCATACTTGTCTTTCATTTTTTGATAATAAGTAAGTTGATTAAATTATCCATAAGTTAAAAAGAAGCTTTCTTAAGTTTATCCTTAATCTAGTATCAAAACTGCTGATCCATTTGATGAACCTGAGCGATCTTTAAATTGTTGTTTGATATTTTTTTCACCAATAGAATATGTAATTATATTGTGAGAGAGACTATCTGTTAAAATCAAAATTAAGTCTTGACTTAAGAATTGCATTGATTTTATTTCTGGTTGGCCACCAGTTAATTATATTTTAAAATAGCATTGTTTTTGTAAATCATCTAAAAAAATAATTCTAATTAAATATTTTTCATCCTTCTAGTCTTAATCAAAACAACAACATATAAGTTAATTAAATTTATTTGATATGTTAAGTTAAACTTATTATGGATTATTATTGAAAGAAGAATCGATATTGAAAGGTTGAATTTAATTTAAATGTTTTCCATTAAGATTCCAAAAAAGAATGTTTGCATCATCATCGGCAGTTATAATTTATTATCTATTATGGTCAAGAAGCACAAATTCAGCTTTATAATTATTATTTTCATCGTAATGAGCTTTAACTGCTTCCTATAATACCATTGTTTTAGTCAGCTAAAATGGTTCAGAAAGACCACTTGAAATAGACTATTAAAAATTAAGTTAATAAAAGGCTTATTTCTAATTATTATAATAATATTTATCTGTTGAATTATAATCTGAAAATTTGTAATAATATAAGATATCTTCGATATAAGCAGCAAGATAAAAGCCACTTGAATTTTAGCATATAAAGTAGTCCTACTACTCAAAGTACCAAAGGTTTGTAATTTCTTAATTTTCCAATTAAAGTTCCTTTTTTGGTTCCAAAGGCTTTAATTATTTTAAGTCTTAAACAGTTAGAGGCCAAAAATGAATGAATGAATCTTTACCAGCAGATACTAAGAAATCCTATAAACCATATTATGATCGTTTTTAATGAATTTATAAGTATATTATTTATTTGTAATGTTAATTATGGACTTGAGAATTGCAGTATAATAAATCGTATTCAATTAATTTACCACTTGTCATACCTACAAATAATGTATTTTTCTTTCGATAATAGAGCAGAGTACAAAATAGATCTTATACTCCCGCCATTTCTATTTGTTATTCATTCTGGTTTGTTGTTTTGATTGAACATGGTATGTTCTTTCCAGATCGAATATTTGTAATTACAACATTATTTCCACAACAAAATAATAAATCTTCATCAACTTAAACATCAAGAATATTTCCCACTTCATTGTAATTAAATCTATTCTCAATACAGAATTTCCCAATTTTTATGATAAATATATAGGTTTGAGTTGCTACCAATAATTTTTATTAATTGAGTTCTGTGATTATCGATACAATTTCTGAATTATCCTCCTTTTCAAAAGTTAATTGTATTTATCCAACTAGAACAAGTTGTTCCTTAGCCTCATCCTTTATATTTTTAGATTCTTTAGGCTCTTCATGATAAATTTTAATAAATATAGCTTTATTTTCTTATTGTTATTTTTAGAATGATGACTCTGCAAAGTAAAAATAATTTGTGTATTTACCTATTGCAAATGTGTTACATTCCTTCAAAGATATATTACCAGAAAATTTTTTTGGAGATTTTTAAATTGATTTGTTTTGTAAAAATTGAATTATGAATGTTAAATTCGTTTAATCTATTCTTATATTATTTTCCTGTTAACAAAATAATTAATAAGATTCATATTCTTCAGCCCATAATTGTATATAATGATAGTATTTACTATGAGTGATTAATTAAAAATGGCCTTAACTTACTTCAATCATATTCAATGACTTAATAGGATTAATTATAGAAATAGATTTTATGAATTGATAGTTGAAAAGGTTCCAAAAACTGATATTTCCTTTATCATCTCCAGATATCAAAATTTCTTTATCCTTAAAATATGTCACTAGGGATGTTACTGATGCTTTATGATTTTATAAGTCTTTTCCTATTTTGGTTCCTCTTTTTGGATCCCAAATTTATATAATTCCATCATCGTTTCCAGAAATAATATTGTTATTAAATGAAAAAATGCAATATGTAATAGTAGATTTTGGATTTGTGTTTTATTATTAGAGCAATGCTTAGAGGTCCCATATCTAGATTTTTCCAATTTTATTTATTGTAGCAATTAATAAGTTTGATATTTTGGTCATACCTTAGATGTGACCGTCCAATAAAGTACAAGATAGTATCTTTTTCTCCTTATAATTCCATAATCTCATGAAGGTAATCTTAGAACTATTAGAAAATGATAAGATATATTTAACATCATCAATGAAATATAATTTTAAATTTTCTTCCTTTTTCAAATCTAATTGTATAAATTTAGAACTAAAAATATATAATTTTTAATTTTTAGGTTCTTAATTATCACTAACTTTCTCAATCTAAAGTTGCTCTACTAAATTTTATTTTTCAATAACTAAAATTCCGCAATTTGAGTGGCCAGGTTTATCTTTATATCCTAATAATAACAAATTCTAATTTTCACTAACTTCAATACTAGTAAATCTTGACAAATATTAACATTTTTAAGGACTCTCCTCTTCATTCATATTTTTATCAAATGACTTATTTCTACATTCAGGATGCGAGCATTATATCAAGAGTGTAAAGAATAAATATTGATTTTCCTTCTCTTTAATGAAGTGTACTTAATTATTATCTCCTATAAATATAATATAATTCTCATAGCTTGCAATTGATATCATTTTATTAAATTATATTTTATCCAATTATATTTTATCCAATTTTATTTTATTACTATCATTTATCACAATTTCCTAATCTTTAACATCAGTTTTTAATTTTATTATTTCCTTTTTTGATCCTATAATCAGTTCATCTTTAAATGTAAAATATGCTATATCAAAAGTGAATCCATCAGGATACTTAATTTTAGAGTGAATTTTTGAAATCAAAGCAAAGGAATCATTATAAAACAATGCTATATTTAATTAATTATGAGAGACCAAAATAGATTTTAGATTCGGATTATATTCAGATTTGTTTTTGACTTCATCCGTACTCTCTTTCTAGTTTTTATAATTAAACCATTTTATTGTAATCTCATTACTTGTATTTGAATTTGTTGCAGTTGGCTTCTTTGTAACTAAATTTTTCAGAAACAATAGTTATTCTGTTTATAGATAAATAAAATAAAAATCTTTAGGTTAGATTACATCACCAGTTTCTATGCTAGGTAGTTCATCGATTAAGATGTCTTGCCATATAACAGAATCAAGCTTTGCAAAATTGAAATTGCTCTGTGAAATATTTACTTTACTAAATTCTGATGAAGTTAAATTTGCACCAAAGAAGTTACTGTTGAGCAATTCAGTTTCATTAATTTTAATTGAACTCAGATCTTCAGTAAATGGATACTTCAATAAATGAAGAAGATATAAACTATTTGAGCTTGCTTGGATGACCCTTTGAATTTTTTCTTTATCTGAGTATTAGGCTTGAGAAACCTTTACCTAGGCTAGGAGTTGAGTTTAAGCTCTTTTTAGTTTGATATTTTAACTTAACTTAATTGAGTCATGCTCTTTATATTATTCATTTGGTTATTTATTTTTGGTTAGAATGACAATTTCAAATAATTTCTTTTGCAAATAATAATTTTGACTTAATTTATCAACCATAAACTTCACAACCCCATTCATGAAATCTTTGGATAAATTATGAACACATAAATCATCAAGTTAGTCATCAATTTACTCTTCAGATAAATTAAAATTAAATTATTCTAATGATTGAATTAACCACTTGGCCACCAAAAATTCCTATAAGGATTTATGATTGAAGGAATATATTCCATATTTTTATCTTATTGGCATTATCTTTCTAAATAGCTTTTTAATTTAACCTTATTCTTATTCATCATTGAAATAAATGTCTCTCCAATCAGCATCTCTATTTTTTTGGAATAAAAATATGCGTGGTATATATTGCACTTAACTTAGTTACTCTAATGTCATATCATTTGCTAGTCTGTGTGTAAATTCCCAAAGATCAGATAAATTTGAAATGTAAACTAAGGATTCCCCAGATTCTTTTAGTTTATTTATTTATCTCTTAAAATACTAAGCAAAAAATTAATCATAAAAATCATATGAGCAGAGAGGATCTAATTTAAGAGCATCTTAAATAATTTTAGAATTCTCAGGTTTTCCAAAATATAATGAGATAATTTGATCTCTTTCATTATCATTTGAGATCTATAGGTATTCTTCCAAAAACTTTTCATTACTTATGATCTTAGACCATTCTTTTGACAACTGCTCGCTAGAAAATTTATCCAATTAGGAAAGCTTTTTCATAAAAGATTCTTTCAAAGTATTTAATTCTTATCTATGCTTAATCATTTGAGGTAAAACAGATGCTACAATTTCAATCATAAATGGCGTTTCCAATAAGGAGCCTATGTCCATTTGTTTTATATTTTTAATATAATATTCTTTACACCAAACCTCTTCTAGAGATTATTTCATCGCAATTGCTATGTCTCCACTTACGAAACTCTCACACAAAGATAAGATTCTTTCAATCTAATTTTTAGATAATAAGAATTATTAATCTTTTTTTTCATCTACTTATTCCTTGTCATTGATAATTTTAAGTATTTCATTAAATAATTCTTCGAATGCAAAAAATCCAGCATTATCCTTATTATTAAAAAAGAAATCTTTAATGATTTTTTTGACTGAAAAAATGGTGTGGTATTCAATGTACGAGTTCACTTATTCGCTATTAAAATTTAACAATCTAATTTCTTTATAAAGTAATAGATTTTCAGATTCTGGTAAAAACCAGGATCGATAATCAGTATTAGTGAACATTTCAGACCTAGAAGTTGTGATTATTTTTGGAAATCTCATTTCATCTGATTGGCATCTCCATTTATACAATTTATTTGAGAGAATAAGATTTCTATTTGTAAATTCTGATTTGATTTCATCATAACTATCCATAATAATCACTAATTTAAATTAGTTCTATTCAATAGCTTCTTTAAATTCAATGATCTATTTCTCGTTGAATCTGTAATTGTCTGATTTTAAGGTTTCTTCCATTGCCATTGATATTGGATCCTTCAATTAAGGCAAAGATACAAATATAGGAATAATAGGGATGGACTCTGCTATGTTCATATTCTTCTTAAATAATAACCATAAGAATTCCTCTATCTTTCGAGCTGCTGTGCTCTTCCCTGATCCAGCTTATCCATGAATCAATAGACTCAATTTCTATTACTTCCAAATAAATTCATTTATCTCTCCATTGCTAAACAAATCATCAGTGTATAATGGAGTTTCTTCATCCTCATTATTCTCTAATACTTGCTTCTCTTTTGTTTTGATGGGCACATACACATTTTCAGAATTCAAAATAATCCTCTATTGCAAGACTCTTTACATTCTAATAATGAGTAAGTCCTTTATACTTCTACCCTACAACAATTGAATATCTTTATGAATTTAATCAATCGAGCCTTGCAAGTTCTTCAACTAAGATTAAATGTTGACCAAATCATTTTTGATATCCTAAAAGAACAGCAAACTGGTTCCTAGTGCATTTCCAAGACTCTCAGCATTCTTAACAATGCCTTATATTTCAGTTTCTAATTCAACATACCTTTTCTTGTATTTAGATTTCTCATATTATTTGGTTTCTATTGTTATTTTATAGGCAATATCATTTAATTCCTCTAACTTTTATTTTATTTTTATTTAGACATCCTCTTCTTATGAGGCCCAACATTACTAGATCATGTTCACTACTTGATTTTAGTCCTAATCGTCTAATAACTGTTTATTTCTTCTATCAGTTTCATATATTCTACATTTTACTAATAACCCTCTGGCCAAATCAACAGTAGCCTATGTCAAACAACTAGGTTTAAACTACAGCAACTCAAATATGCATGATTAACGAACTCTCCATTTATTTTAATTTATTAAGTCACTTGCTGCTTCTTTAAATTAATCATAATAACTTGGATCTGATGTTACATCCTCCTTTTTCCATATTTAGGTTAATATGAAGAATATTTCTGATTTTAGATTAGGACTAAGGCTTAATTTTGCTTCATTAAATATTTTTTATAGATTTGTTAGATCAAATACTTATTCAGGTAGTTTTTCCTCATACTTCCCAACCAAGTCCTGAATTTTCTTTTCATTCTGTTCTATTTTATTCTGATAAGAACTACTCGCTTTTTTGAGGAGCAATGAATTATTTATCAAAGTCTAAAATACACCTTACTATTGATTAATAAATTTCAGGTTATCGAATTAGATTTAAACCTAATGTTCAATATCCTTTATGATATTAAATAATGAATTAAAGAATTCTTTAGTTTTTAAAGGAGAACTATTTTCAGTATTAAGTTTATCCTATTCATTTTAAATGGTTAACTCTAATAAAGTCTTTAGGTGCTAGTCTACTTCTTTATATAATTCTTATTTAAAAGTGTCATCCTCCTCTTAAATTGTTTTATAACCTTAAGCTAGTTCAATCTTTTCGATGTATTCTTTTATTGATTATTATTTATGATCAATCTGAGAAGCAACTTATTGAGAGGAATTTTTATTCTTTTTCTACCAATTTTTATTATATTGGCAATAATTTTAATAATACAAAGTTATTTTAAACAGGTTGTCCTTATTGGTCAACCATGTCTCCTGATTTTATGGATATTCAATCTTTTGTTAATGGAAAATATCATTATTTAAAAAAATATTGAATTCATCCTAGCCTTTTTTGTTGTTTTTTTCATCAGCATTTAAAATGTCGATAATCATTTGAACAGCCCTTTTGAGTTAAACTATATCATCTAGAAACTTCTCATGCTCATTTTAGATTTCTTAAAATATTGATTAGCATATGTAAATTACTCCTACATCTTTTATTTTTCTAATTGTTTCTTTGTGAATTTAGTAGACCATGTTGAGAGTTTGGAACTTTTTTAAAGTTATGCTTTTCAAAACTTAATATATAACATTCCTTTTTTATGAGACCTTTCCAATTAGTTAGTATTTTACGCAACCCTCATATTTACTATAAAAAAACTTAATGCATTTTTGAATAGCTTTAATTTAGGATAATTATTACGAAAATTCTTTTAAGGAGTCTATTATTTGATTTGTTTATTGATTTGGTTGCTTGTCATTATATTAATTTTAACTTAATTCTTAAATGTAGAACTTCATTCGAACTAACAATCTGTGATTCCATCGAAGGAATGCTGATGCTTCCTATAACAATTTAATTCCTTCTTTAAATCCAAATTTGTATTCCTCCTCGTTATTCATTTAATGTTTAGAAGGTTTAATTTTTATATATTTAAGTCTAGTCTATAATATCTAGAGTGTTTCTATTTTAAATGGATCCGACTTATAATCAGCAATAATCTTAGGATAGTCAGGAGTCTTAGGATTTTTTTTAACTGTTTTTTTCTTTCCAATTTCATCAAAAAGTTCAATTAAATTTAATTAATATTTTTAAAAATCCTCTTCATTATTTATATCTTGAATGACTTAATCTTGATCTTATTTTGGTTTATTTAAGATGAAGTCTTTTGTATACTCTTCCTATGCTTCGTTATCTAATTATGCATTTTCTTTTGATTTATTATTACTCTTCAGTAGTAAGCTTTTTAAGAAGAAGGTAATGAATTTTTTGCCTAAACTTTTTTTTAATTTTACAATTTCATCTAACCATATATCATCCTTAATTATATTTTATTAATTATTGGATTGATTTTATAAGTTTTGACTGAAAAACATTTGATTTTATTATGCTAATTATAGCTTCGGGGATTCTAACTCATTATCTTTTGGGTTCTCAATTTCATGTAATGAATAAATAGACTCCAACAATTAGATTGTATTATTAATTGCTCTAACAAGCTGGTTTTCAATATCTTAAATTTTAGATTTGTTTGTAGTGCTCAGTAATTCAATATGCTATTATAATTAGTCTTAAGCCTTTTTGATTTCCTAAGCATTATGTAACATGATTGATACTGAACTTAAATTAAATTGAAATGCATCAAAATTCTCTTTTTCAATTGATTATGTGAGTTTGGAGGAGTATAACAATTCAAAACTTGGCATTTATTGATATCCATATAAGATAGAATATTACAATCTACCAAGTTCTTATAATTCTTCTATGTTCTAATAGATTAATTTTGCAGTTGCATCACTTTCAATTAATCTACTGTCAATATTCAACCAACATGTTTTTGTATTTTCATTTTTATGAATATAGTGCTAATCTGATATTTTAAGGTTCTAGATTTTTTCAAGAGGGAGAATCAGTTTTTATTAGAATAATTAGGATAACACTCTAGTCCATGTGCACCACACTTGCCAATCCGAAGATTTGCTGACTACTTCCTTGTAAACAGTATTTAATCGATCCAAATGAACGAAGTCTTATTTTAACTCGCTTTTCTAAATCTTGTTTACTATTTCATATTTGAGTTATAATAAAGCAAAAATGACCTTAAGTATTTTCTTCCTGCTGGCTTTGTCATGCTCATTGTAAATGTAGATAACGCCTTTCTTTAGACTAGTCAAAAATTGATCATTGATGGAGAAGGATAGAAATGAGGTAGCTGCCCCAATAAGAAAGGAAGCTGCTATTTCCTGAGCTTCATCACTGTCTGTCGGAACAATGGTAAATATTGACTCAATTATGTAGAGCTCGTATTCTAAGTTATTTTGATACTTATCGATGTTTTTTTCTATATCTATTTCTGTTTTGATTTTTGCGATTAAGTCTAAGTATTCAGTTTAATCTTTGACATTCATAAATCTGTCCTTATTTACTTTTGTCGAGTTCGCATAGGTATAGAAACAGAAGACTATCCAAGAGAGCAATTGAATGATTTGTGATAAATAGACAGAATAGGCTACAAACCCTTTAATGAGGATTTTTAAGGCCTCCAATAGGGGTTTGAGATTTGCTAAGATGATGTCAATAATTTGGGTTGATTCCTCTTTATCCACTATGATTCCCCACAATTCTTACCTGTTATCCAAGAAGAATTAGAAGCTAGACATTAGTTTCTACTTCTCACTCATAGCAATCGGTGAGTTTTTGAAAATAACTTCGCTATGTTATTGGATGAGCTTTGCCATTCTCTCTTTTTGGGTCAAATCAACTTTCTGTTTGCCTCTTTCCATTTCTTATTAGTGTTTTTTCTAATCTTTTTTGGAGGCTCCGCAACCTCCACCTCTCAAAAATATCATACTCATGTTGGAACACAATAAATAAATATTAACAAAATAAATATCTTTTTTTGCAACGAGCTTTTTTAATATATAATACAGATATGAGTTTGAACAATTTATATATAATTAAAATGAAGTGAGAATAGTGTGTATGATTATCTATATAATCTAATAATGAATTAAAAATGATATTAATAAATTAGTAGTAATGAATTAATCAACAGCATTGGATGACTACACCTTAAAAGAAAATTTATCAAGATTAAGCAATCTGATGAGTACTTAAAAAAAGAATTAGATGGATTAAAAACCTCATTTACAAAATTAGTAGATGAAAAAGACTATATTTATGAATTTGAAATTCTTCGTTAAACCTCAAGTGCCCAAGGTTCAAGCACAAACACAAAAACATACTAAAGTTCCAGAAACAACTTCCACTCAGAGTTAGACTCCAAAAACTATAACAAAATAATAAATGTACAGACCACAATCCATGGCTCTTTTTAAGTAGATTTCAGAATTCAGAGAGCTAAAACATTAAGAGAGTTCAATCAAACAAGATTTATCTCATTATAAGGATTGGGTTGGCTTATCAGTAGTTGATCGAAATGAAATATTTCAAAAAAAGAAGCAATTGAAAATAAAAAAGCTTAAAGAAGAGAAAGAATAATAGATTATTAATGCTTGTACATTTACACCTAAATTATCTCAATAAATCAAGTATTCAAGTCCATAATCTTAGATCATAAGTAAATCATATCTTGATTTACATAAATAAAAACAGAATTATAATGATAAATTATATTGATGTCAAAATTTTGTTTTTTTCAATTAATTAGCTAAGCTTACTATTGAATATCACAACCTATAAATAATTATCTTGATATTACAGTTAATTATCAGAAGTTCTGTTAGAACTTTATTATCAGCTTAGTAAAATTAATTATATAATAAATTATATTCAAAATCATCGGAAGAGAGATTTTAATTTATTTATCAACTTCTAAAAAAAGATTTGGTTTACAAAAGAATTTGTATAGAGTAGAATTTCTCAAGATAACAGTTAATAAATGATATTCAATCATATTTCAATTTTTCCATCAATCTTTTACCATGTAGGAATAGCATTGCTTCTTCGTATGTTTATGGCTAAACTTGTTTGATTGGCACTGATGATTTCATAGCCAAGTAGACTTCAGATGTTTTCAAAATTGTTACCTTGCTATCTTTGTAATTGTGGACATCTACTTACACTTAAATTATCATTATGTCGTCTTCTACATAACAGATCTTTCCAGATTGATTGATGATACTTCCTATTGCAACTGGAGCAAGGAAAGTTACATCAAAAATGTGTATGATGAACACATCATTTCCAATGGCATGTTTATAACCCACTAGCCAACCTAATTCGATGATTTCTTTCATTATATGACCACCAAAGGCCTTACCATGGAGATTTCTGTCTTGAGTATGCATCATGATGTTCTTATCCAATTCTGTTTGACTTATAAAGAGACTATCATCTCTTTTTTTCATCATATCATGCAAATATCTTGATTCGTTTTGATTAGGAGGTTCCTATTATAGTTTGGACTCTTAAATTCGCCTTTATTAGTTCAAAGTTCCTAATTGTTTGCGAATAAAGCAGGGTTCCTTAATGTCAGGGTGCAATTCATCCAACAATTGTGGGACAGGCTGAGCTTAGTCATACTTTTCTGCATTCCTACTTACCATCACAAAGGAAACTGTAGCAGCCAATTGGTTATCTTAAAATAAATCACTATTAACTTCGATTGACGATTTGCCAACGTAACTTACATAGGAATTCATTATGATGTCTTTGTTATAATCAAATTCTTATTTATAGAATAGAAAATCATAAACACCTAAGGTTGCTATTGTTATTTAGCGATTAGAGAAATCAGCATAGGCATGCTTGTATCCTACAAAACCTACTTATAAATCTAAGACTTCCAATAGTCTCCCTATTCTTGCGTATTTAGTTTATAATTTAGTAAATTGGGTTCTTAATTTCTAATTCTACCCTATAGGTATTTTTAATTGAGTAAATGTGTTGCTAGTGCTATTGAAGTTTTGGGAGTCAGGTATTGTCTTGTATTCATCTTTGAGTTCAAACAACTCAAAATTATTTTGACTTGTGAAGAAGTTTGGAACCAATTGATTGATTTTTGAATCTGATAAAATCAAAGGCTTGAGTTAATCCTCTTTAAAATTTAAGGCTAGCTGTTTGGCACGTATTTGGGCCAATTTATTGGCAAGCAATGAAAATTTTGGTAATGTCATTATAATTAATAATGTAATAAGAGAATCCAGAAAATCCATAAGCAAGAATCGAATAACAAATTGATCGCTTACGTCAAATAGATGAGTTAAGAGACTTGGGGAAAGGAAGACAAGGAATTTGTATAAACTTTAAAGATCGAGTCTATAAGTTCTTAAATTTAAATCGTAATAATAACTTGAGTATAGAAGAATTGAGAAGAATGAATTAAGTAATAAATATATAAATTTAGAATGAACTTCATTATTTGCAATTATTGACTAGTAGTGATTATACGTGTGAAGTTTAAAGCAATGAATGCGATGATGAAAATTTGTGGATTACAACAGCTTATATGAATTTGGGCACCCTTGATATGGATTGTCTTTTTAATCAACAACAATAATTTTTAGAAATGGAGACAATTAGGATCATTTGTGTTAGATTACTCAACATATTAAATTATTTTCATAACAATAGGATATTCCATTTGGATGTGAACCCTACGAATATATTATTTCACGAAGAATTTCAGTTCTTTCATGAAAACCGGTAAAATGATTTAGAATTACCAATTGAGTAAGGGCTCTAAAGTTTGAGTTAAGATTTAAGAGCACCACAAAAAAAATAATTACATTTGGTAGATAATAAGATACATGATTACACCAATCTGCAATACATTCTAAATCAAAAATTTTCAAACTTATAACCTAACTAAAGAGGTTATTTAATCGAATATAGATTTGCAGATGAACATGTTGCTCAATTAGTATTTTGGATTAGGAGATGGCTTAAATTGTAAAACAGGGAAACTTTTAATCCTAAATGCATATAAGTAAAAAAAGGAATCAGAATTTGTTTCTGCGATTTTGGTCTTTCTAGATCATTTGAAAATAATGATTTCAACAGACCAGAATTTAGAGATGGCCCCTATAAAACTCCATACGAAATTTTGGGGAGGATTGTATATTAGAATGAACGTATAGAGGCATGGAAGATTGCTAGATACTAAGATCTCTTCTGTTTAGGCATAACAATGATGAATCTATTAATAAATAATGGATATGCCGAAATCGAGCCGTTTAAAGAAGACGAGAAAGATCTTGAACAATTTCTTTAATAAACTTACGGGTTACATTAACTTAAAAATGCTTGTCATCCAGATGACTATAAAGAACTCTTAACATACTATGTTATTCTTAGATGGTTGGAATAAAATATGAACAATGATTAAACACTTAGGTTGATATATCGTATGTTGAAATTCAATTTCAATTTCACGTCAGATATTCCCTTAAATTTGTAAGAAGACTAGGATATACCATTAGAGAATATAAAAACAGTATAAAACTTCTGTAGATTATTAACTGAGCAATATGGATGATGATTATTATTTAAACTAATATGATAATTTTTATAATAGCTTCTGTATAATCTTTAGATGTCCAGCTCATCAATTTGCAGTAGGTGTATTACAGTGTTCCAATAACAGCCAATAATTTCACTTATAATTTAATTGTGGACACAGGAAGTGATACTCTTTGGATATTTGGAAGGCAAAACGATAGGAGAAAATATTATGAATGCAATAACTGTTAAGCGATTATGCATAAGAGATTAGATTATGGTTTGGGAAGTATCTAGGGTACCTAATTCACATAATTGTTCGAATTTGGCAATCAATCACTCAATTTATCAGTTGTCGAAGTTGAGAGAGTGCAAGATTTAGAATCTCTCATTGCCGATGGAATCATTGGTTTAAGCAAGCAATATCCTGATTCGGATGCCAATCTTATTGACCTCTTGTATAATCACACGATCATAGATGCAAAATAGTTCGGATTATTGTTGAGCGATCAAATCTGTTCTGCCAATTCCTTGTTGACTCTAGGTAAGCCAAATACATCTAATTATGTGGGACAACTCCAATATGTCAATACCACAAAGAGTGATCTATGGAATGTCTATGCCAATTCTGTCCTCATTTCAAATGGCTCTCACTAATAAATGTTGGAGTCAAATAAATAATTAATATTGTTTGATAGTGGCACGTCCAAAATAATGTTGTCGACTAGAAAGTTTCATAGTCTGCATAACATTTTTAACGATGACTATAATTTACATTGCGAATAAGTAAAACATAATTATTTTCATGAATTAGTATGTCATTACACTACTTAATTCCCACATCTAATCCTAAATATCAATTCTTAATTAAACCTAACTCTACTTCCCTAAGATTACATCTCCTATTGCGGATACAACTATTTTTTGTAATACAGATGTTATTTGAATTTCTAAAATTTGGACAACGATGACGAAATCATTCTCGGAGTAGTATTTCTGCAGAAGTATTATACTCATTATGATCTAGAAGCCAAACAAGTAGGCATCGCCCAATCAATTTACTATAGTATAAATTTTCGTATATATTTTAGACAGAGACAAGCTAAGTGTGAGTGAATTGGGGAATCAATACAATTATAACATGCTCTACCTCTCGTTTATGTCCATTCCCATATTAGTAATGATGATAATTCTGAGTATGAACATCATAAGAATGAAGTAGAATTCAGATGAGATGGCCCAGAGTAGTGAGGGAGGTCGATAATAGAGAGGGTAGGAATAAGAAATGGAACCGATTACATTTTCGGTTCAATCCGCAAGATGATTAAAAAATTACTTATTTTAAATAAGATTATTATATATTCTCCCAATATATATCTAAACGAACATATCTTATTAGTGTTATTAAAGGATTTAGAGGCAAGGCATTTGATAAATTAAATAAAATATCAAAATGTCATTCGTTCTTGACCCATTGCCATATGCTTAGGATGCCTTGGCTCCACATATTTCAGCAAACACCATCAGTTTTCACTATGGAAAACATCATGCTGGATACGTGAACAAATTGAACGAACTAACCAAAGGAACACCCTATGAAACTCAAAGTCTTACAGACGTANTTTGGAAGGCAAAACGATAGGAGAAAATATTATGAATGCAATAACTGTTAAGCGATTATGCATAAGAGATTAGATTATGGTTTGGGAAGTATCTAGGGTACCTAATTCACATAATTGTTCGAATTTGGCAATCAATCACTCAATTTATCAGTTGTCGAAGTTGAGAGAGTGCAAGATTTAGAATCTCTCATTGCCGATGGAATCATTGGTTTAAGCAAGCAATATCCTGATTCGGATGCCAATCTTATTGACCTCTTGTATAATCACACGATCATAGATGCAAAATAGTTCGGATTATTGTTGAGCGATCAAATCTGTTCTGCCAATTCCTTGTTGACTCTAGGTAAGCCAAATACATCTAATTATGTGGGACAACTCCAATATGTCAATACCACAAAGAGTGATCTATGGAATGTCTATGCCAATTCTGTCCTCATTTCAAATGGCTCTCACTAATAAATGTTGGAGTCAAATAAATAATTAATATTGTTTGATAGTGGCACGTCCAAAATAATGTTGTCGACTAGAAAGTTTCATAGTCTGCATAACATTTTTAACGATGACTATAATTTACATTGCGAATAAGTAAAACATAATTATTTTCATGAATTAGTATGTCATTACACTACTTAATTCCCACATCTAATCCTAAATATCAATTCTTAATTAAACCTAACTCTACTTCCCTAAGATTACATCTCCTATTGCGGATACAACTATTTTTTGTAATACAGATGTTATTTGAATTTCTAAAATTTGGACAACGATGACGAAATCATTCTCGGAGTAGTATTTCTGCAGAAGTATTATACTCATTATGATCTAGAAGCCAAACAAGTAGGCATCGCCCAATCAATTTACTATAGTATAAATTTTCGTATATATTTTAGACAGAGACAAGCTAAGTGTGAGTGAATTGGGGAATCAATACAATTATAACATGCTCTACCTCTCGTTTATGTCCATTCCCATATTAGTAATGATGATAATTCTGAGTATGAACATCATAAGAATGAAGTAGAATTCAGATGAGATGGCCCAGAGTAGTGAGGGAGGTCGATAATAGAGAGGGTAGGAATAAGAAATGGAACCGATTACATTTTCGGTTCAATCCGCAAGATGATTAAAAAATTACTTATTTTAAATAAGATTATTATATATTCTCCCAATATATATCTAAACGAACATATCTTATTAGTGTTATTAAAGGATTTAGAGGCAAGGCATTTGATAAATTAAATAAAATATCAAAATGTCATTCGTTCTTGACCCATTGCCATATGCTTAGGATGCCTTGGCTCCACATATTTCAGCAAACACCATCAGTTTTCACTATGGAAAACATCATGCTGGATACGTGAACAAATTGAACGAACTAACCAAAGGAACACCCTATGAAACTCAAAGTCTTACAGACGTAGTAAAGAATACTTATGGAAATCCAGCCACAGTTGCCATTTTCAATAATGCAGCATAGAATTGGAATCACACGTAATCTTAGAAAATTAAGACATTAGATTTTATTGGAGAAGTATGAAATAATAAGGTGGTGGCCCTGCAACTGGATAAGTTAAGGATTTGATCTTGTAAAGCTTCGACAGTTTGGACTCCTTCAGCAAGGCATTCACAGATGCCGCTTTGGGTTAATTTGGATCGGGGTACAAGAATATTCTTAATTCTCAATAGATGGACTTGGTTAGTAGAGAAGGACGGAAAAGTCAGTATTGTCAAGACATCAAATGCTGACAACCCCATAACACAAGGATACAATCCCTTGATTACATTAGATGTTTGGGAACATGCATACTATTTGGACTTTTAGAATAGAAGAGTCGATTATGCAAATTTGTTTTTAACTAATTTAGTGAATTGGGACTTCGCTAACCAAAATTTGGTCAACAAGGCACATTTATGAAATATTATAATAAAGAGAAGCATTAATATTAAAATTTAATTATGAGGCCTTCTTTAAATTATTTGAGATAATTAAGAAATTAAATAGTATGGTCAGCATCAGCCATTGGATTGACCACCTTAACACAAACCAATTTTTGCACTACCAAGGAATACTATTTCAATTATGGATCTCATATGATACCTCATCCTGAAAAGGTCCATAAAGGAGGTGAAGATGCTCTATTTACAGACAAAAAGATCCTTGTTGTAGCAGATGGTGTTGGTGGTTGGGCTGAGGTAATTGATATTATTGATAAGTTGAATTTAGTTGGGAATCGATCCAGGATTGTATAGCAAAGAATTATGCAAAAAATTAGAGGAAGCCTTCAAGTAGAATCCTGAAGATCTTAAGAATCCTAAAAAATATATCATTGCAGCTCATAAGGTAACCAAAGCAAAGGGCAGCACTACTGTTTGTGTGGTAGCATTAAATAAAGGGGAATTGAAATCCTCCTTAGTCGGAGATTCAGGATTTGCAATTTATCGCAAAGTTGATGATAAATATCAATTAAATTTCAAATCTCAAGAATAATAGAAATCATTCAATTTCCCATATCAAGTATCTTGATAAATCAATAGTAGATTGGAAGTGAAGGAGACAATCCAAATGTAGCTACCGATGAGACTCATAAAATTTAGGTTGGAGACTTGGTAGTCTTAGGAACTGATGGATTGTTTGATAATATGTCAGCTTAATAAATTCAAGTGGTCATAGAAGATGTTATTAAGACCGAGCCTAATAATCCGTAGGCATTGGCAAAGTCAATAGCTAATTATGCCTATAGATTATCTTTGGATCCTAAATACAATTCACCTTTCGCTCAGCATGCTAAGCAGAGTAGGCTAAGATATATGGGCGGAAAGAGTGACGATATAACAGTGATTGTTGCATTTATTCATGAATAATGATTTATTAATAATTTACATATCTAATTGATATTACACAGATTAATTAATGTATCTTTCATATTCTCCCTTAAATATATTTATTATCCTATTTGTAATTATTAATAAAAATAAAAATCACATTATATTAGTGGGATGAATAGATGACACAATTATATACACAGATTTACATTAAATATATCTCTGGATACATGATTTTAATTCATAAAGTCCTCATAGGCATTTTAAATATTAATAATTCGATTATTAAGCATCACTTTAAAATGGACAGAACCTGGTTTCTAACAATGAATGACTCTATGGAATATCACGAGTGTGCTTGAATGATGCATGTATTAATTTGATTATGGGAATGGAGAGGGAACTGTGTAATATGGGAGGAATATGGAATAATAACGCAATATGGAGAATTGGGTGGAGAAGGAATTTAGGGATTATATGAGTTTTTATTTATAAATGTGCTTAATATAATCACATTACTGAATAAATTTTGTGTATGATACTTCTTTGCAATAATTTAATTATTTTAATTCAAATGGGGGAGCTTATTGTAACAATAACAACATGGGATAAGCCGAATTATGAATTGTTTGATGGAGAATCGCAAAATTATAGAATATAGGAATATTTGATAAACGAACCTGGAATATTTTGTAGAAATGGGGAAAATGAAACATTTTTTGATTAGAATTTGAGTAGAAAAGACGGAGTAAGGATTCTATTCAATGTCAGAATTGACGATGGTAGTATTTGGCCACTGCATTGTAGGATAATTCGTTATTGGAGATAAAGATAAGATTGAGGATTTATGGATTCAGTCAAAGAATGAGTAACAAATAAGACAGAATGATGTGATAAAGTTAGGAAAGAAAGTGCTGAAAGTGCTAAGTATTAGCAATGAAAACAACTTACATTTGACACATTACCAAAATGTAGCTAGTCAAATTGAAAATGTAGAAGCCTCATTATTTGAGTCATCAAATATGTGCCGAATATGTTTGGGACATACTTGCAACACTTCTAATCCTTTGTTATCATTATGTCGTTGTTGTGGTAGTACCAAGTACGTGCATTATGATTGCTTGAAGACTTGGCTATTTGGGAAAATGTAAGCGAAACAAACTCAATATTGTACTGAGTAACAAACATACAAAAATTTAGAATAAATGCTAAGAGTGTCAGATGTGAAATTTGCTAATCGTTCTATCCTTCCATAGTGCACACAGGGACTAGCGTGTTAGCATTGTATAATCTCGAAAATCTAAAATATCATGTTGTCTTAGAAGATATAGAAAATTAGACTATCCTGGTTTTGAATTTTAAGGATCTGACTACTCTGACGGTGGGACGAGGTCATGAGAGCAATGTTAAGATTAGTGAGATAACAATTAGCAGAACTCATCTTGCATTTGTTGTGAGGTACAATTATTGTAATAGTTCTGTAGGAATGATAAGTTGTACATTGAGGACAAGAATTCTAAATTTGGAACTCTAATCAAATTGCAGAAAGCAAGGAGAATAGAGAAAAACGAGACACTGTTTTTGCAATCGGGAAGGAGCAGAATTATGATAAAACACAAAGCTAAACCAAAAAGATGTGCGTTACTTTGTAATTTTCTTGATTGATATATAATTAACTTATGATGTACGAAGAATATGATGATTCTCCTCTCTAATTTATAAAGTCTATTCGTATCTACTTGAATGGAGACTCTTCGAAGTACTTGGATTTGAAGATAGCTCAAAATTCTAATTGGAGTGACATTTAAACTCAATTGGATCAGAAATTCCCCAAATTTAAAGATATGAGACTCTTCACCCAATAAGGAGTAGAAATCTTTTAAGATGATGTTAAATTTTTTAAGGACGGCTAATCATTCTATGCGTCTCGAGGAGGTACAATTTTGATTGATGTTTAATTTTAGATGAGTTCGATCCTCATTCCCCATTTTCTCAGTATGAAACAATAAAGAAATTAGGAGAAGGAGGGTTTGGGTGTGTAACACTGGCCAGACATCGGATAACTGGAGAGCAGGTTGCAATTAAGGTAATTAAAATGATGGGAAATGCTTAAGACATAGAACTCAATTTCAGAGAAGCAGAAGTATTGCGATCTTTGAGTCACAAGAATATTGTGAAGGTTTTCAATTCTTATGCTTTGCAAAATACATAGATAGCTGTGATAATGGAATATTTGGAAGGTGGAGAGTTGGCAGAGAGATTACGATAAAAGGGTCGATTTTAAGAAGAGGAAGCTTGCAAATATTTTAGATAAGTGGTTAGTGCAATAGCCTATTGTCATCAGAAGAATGTAGTTCATAGAGATTTAAAAATGGAAAACTTATTATTCTGTTCTCCAGACTCTGATGATTTAAAAGCAATCGATTTTGGAATTGCAGGCATCTAATGTCCAACCAACAATGACCATGTCAATATCGGCAGTCTTCATTATATGGCACCTGAAATTCTGGGTGGCAAAGTCACTAGAGTGAGCACTTCTGTAGACATCTGGGCCATGGGTATCATTCTTTACAAAATGCTTTTTGGCAAAGTGCCTTTCAATGGGAAATCCTAATAAGACATCATTTTCAACATTGTTAATAAGGATCTCATATTGCCACCCAACAATTTTAGTGAAGAAGTCATCAACTTGATTACTCAGATGTTGGAAAAGAATCACGAATAACGTCCTCGAATAACTGATGTGGAATATCACCCTTGGGTTAACACTGAAGTCAGAACACCACAACAAAAACAATCACTTCTCCAAATACCCTCTGAAGGTAATATTCGTAAGTCAAGACCCTCTTTAAGTCCAAGAGCAAGAAGTAAATCACCTAATCCTTCTGGCATTGTCAAACATCCTAATATATTCAAATTATGATATTCATAATCATTTAAAATTATTATAGATCTTTCAATTTCAATAATGATGCTCCTTATTTTCTAATTACAAACATTCTCTATATATAGATGAAGATAAAGAACCTCAAGGGTAGATACATTTTAATAATTGGATCATATTTGTTACAATACATATTAACACAATTAAATTGATAATAGTGAATAAATAATTATATAGGGATAGCCAAATGTTGTGAATGTGGTTTATATTTACTCTTTTGAATATAATCACTTTTCCTCTAATTGTTTAAATGAGTGTATGTCATATTCCATTGCTCTAAATATCTTCTCATCAACATTGTTTCCTTTAACATTCTTTAATGTTTTCTATAATTTATCATTGTTTTTCAATTTCATGTATTCAAGCACTTAATCAATTTCATTCGACATGCTATCTCTGAGTTCAGGGAATCTCTAGATATTTCTAGCCTAGAATGTTTCCTCCTCTTTGGAAGTAGGATACATTTTGGGTTGCTTGATCTTTAACCAACTACACTTATGAGATCAATGGAATTTACTTCATTCTTCCAATCACAGTCAAATCGTCATCATACCCTCTATAAAATTGAGGTGCATACAAGGACTTCAAATTTTTCAAATTCTCTTCTGACCTTTGCATTAACCTATTGATTTTTGTTAATCTCATAAAACCAGACATTTTAATTTTAATCTTGAAAATAATTTTAATAATCAAAATAGAACAACACACATATTTATTCCTCAATTACAATCCCATATACTTTCACCCATCATTCAATATAATTTCATTACAAATTTAATATAGTGATTATATATTTTAAATGGCTTAAAATTTAGAAAGTGTCTACAAGGACATCTCAGGTGTCCTAACTAGAGAAATCAAAGAGAAAGGATTGTGGTGTGACTTTGTTGCCAAGGCAGACGAGCAAAAGTAGATTACCTTTACTAATTTTGAAGAAGTTGTTAAAAATATAATTATCGATATAAACATAGAAGAATTAGTGGCATTGAAGGAAAAACTATTTATACAAGAAATGACTACTTTGTCTGCATTGGCAAGATCATTAAAAATTAATATCATCGATTAAAACAAAAAAAAAACTTAGATTATCCTCAATCAAAGCTCAGATAATATGGAGGGTTCATAAGGAACTTCCGAAATGTAAATTCAGAATAATCAGAATAATCAGAATAATCAGAATTCAAATATCTTCCAATCTCAATAGCATTAATAGGGTAGCTCGTAACACATCAATATGTCGAGTTCTTCGAGTCAACGATCAATCAATGTGCATCATACTCTCAATGCTCAACCTGCTCTCAAATAAGTAGCCAACGATAAAAGATCATATCAACGACAGGATTTTTAATAGCTTTCATAATAAGACAATTACATAGAGGAGTATAAAAAATAGATAGCTGAAAATAAACAAGAAGATAATGTTTCTGAGCACCAAAACAATGAAGATCAACAACCGGTCTAATCTTAGCAATTAAAACCAGTGAGATTCTAGAAAGAAGTCAATGAAAATAATGAGCCTACCTTAGATTAATAGATTGAGGATTTATTTAATTCAATTGATTCTAATTAAAATGGGTGGCTGGATCCAAAGGAATTGAATATTGCCTTGCTATCACTTGGTATCAATCCCACTCCGCAAGAATTGGATTAGTATTTTAAGGTCTTTGATAAGAATCATGATGAGAAGATATCGAAAATGGAATTCAATATCATTATCAAGGATCAATTGATGAAAGCCATATTGTCCACAGACGAACTGTTTGCTTAAATCTAAAGTGAATATAATATCCTAACAGATGCCAATAGAAATGAATTGGACATGGCTCAATTGCAATAGGTGTTTAAGAAATTAGGAATCCTACTAGACAATAACGATCTAATCGATCTCTTTGAAGAAATTGATGAGGATGGAAGTGGATTCATAGAGCAAGACGAACTCATCAATTTCTTGGATAAACCCTTCTCAGAACATACTCCTAAGTCTTAGACTCTTCTCACTAAGATCAACAACTTCAAGAACCTTTCAATAACAGGAATAAGAGAGCTGTTCTAGGGGATACCCAAGAATTTCACTTATTCCTTTATTTTTGCTCAAAATAAAAAGGGTTTGAACACAATTTCAAGTTGTTTCTCACCTCAACTGGACAGTAGTGGATTATTGTATCAAGATTTGAATTTGATATAGGCCTAAAAGTACAATCTTCAAAGATCCTTAATTGATATGTAGATAATAAATTTAAATTAGGACTCAGACACCTCCTTTGGTTTTTTATGAAGTTAAATTCCATTTAGCTGCAGGTTTACCATCTCCAGATGAGAAGAAGTGTGATTTAAAATAATTTAGATTGAGAGAAGTAGCAATGTGCTTGTTTGATAAAGTAAATTCAAAATTCATTGGTAATACAGTCTTTGTACCATGTTAAGTTGACCCATCATCTCCTGATAAGTATAAATTGATAACATTGATATAGGTGGCTATTTTTAGTTGATTATCCAATAATTATGAGATGTGTGCCAACGAAGAAGGATTAATAATTGGTGTTGGTGATTGAATTTATTGCTCACATGGAGAAATTAGGTACTTTGAATCCACTTTCAGTTAGTTATGGAGAGATTCTGTTAACAAGTATTAAGAAACCAGGCAAGTAGATCATTTAGATGAATGGTAATTATGAAACATTATGTTAAAGGTGGTTCTCCTTTCAATTAAATGGTGATCGACCCTCAATCAATCATATAACCAAAGGGGTTATTCAAGAAGCAATTGAATCAACCTTAGGTGACAATTGAGTTCATGGAAATCGAATTGAAGAAACCTCCAATCATTCAATTATTTAGTGTTTTACCGTAGAGTTATCTCTTGCCTAAGAGTTGGCTTCAATTGATGCATGACTTTAGAGAGTATTTCGCCTATAGATCGGTGTGCTAGGGGTTTTTTGATAGCAGTTTACCAGATTATAAGATGAAGAGTCTGTTGGACATGTTGGATATGCCGGAGTGTGGGGATTAGATAGCGAATTGGTGGAATTCGAACATCAAGACCACTAATTTTAAGGAGTTGATCAATTTGGTGGATGTCTTGTGTTAGAGAGCATATTTGACAACGCAGAGAGTGGATTTCTATTTGAAGGCGTTTCCTCCAGTGCAGAGGATAAACCACAAATATTCAATTTTGGAGAAGAGACGCAATTGTTTACAGGAGATGTTCAGGGATTTGGCTACTGTTTTGGGGAAGCGAACAGGAGGGTAATGTGTTTGGTAATATGATTAGACGGAAGAATGACAATTACTTTAATATGGAACCATTAATATTGTGCACTTTGCAGGAAGAGGACAAATCAATGATGGAGAAGATTCTCAGTAGAAGAAAAATTAAATGATATTATTAATTAAATTAAATGGTATATAAAAAATTATTGATTGTGAATACTTTCTTATTCATTGTAATGGATTTGGCTATGATTTCAATCTTGCTTTTTTAATCATTTGAGGATGGAATCGGATAGTTATTAACGATTTCTCTGATTGTTGGATTTGGATCATTTGTATTGTTACAACAGCTGCTTGTATTTGTTGAATGGCAGATCGATATGAAATACAAATTGAATTTGGTTTCATCTATGGGGAAGATAGTGATTGTTTGGATTATGGATGTCAGATTGAACACCAATCAAAACCTTCTAATACTATTTTAAATTTACATGACTTAAGAATGTTACAAAAGAAAATCACTGCAATATTCATTTGTTTTTATGATGATTCTAAATTTATTCGAATTCAACAATTTTATTAATTTCGGATATGATTAACTCATAAACTTAATGCAAATTGTTGTTTGGATAGTGTAAAATGTTTATTAAGGCAAATGGTCCGAGGGAGACAAATTTCAGCAGTCCTTTGCTCAAGTGTCAACTGGAGGGGGCTAAATATAACAAACCTTTGCCATCATCTAAGAATCTAGAAGAAGCATGCCGATGATAAACTCGTTGAAAATGATGGACGACGAACCTTGGCTAGATTAGTAAGAATATTTATCTAATAAGTAAATGGTTATCATACGAGAAGTACATAGTCATGGGAGCAGATCTAAAAATGAAGTTCTACAGTTTTGATCTTAAAATATTTGACAAATCGATTGAATCCACAGAAGACCAGGAAGAAATAGTGAATCTCCTATTGGATTAAGGAGTAAAGTTTATATCGAGACTAGACAACAGTCAGCAATCTCTAGTGTCTTAAAAAGGAGTTGTGACTTTGAGGTAGGTGTTGGAGAATCAGTTGTAAACTCAGATTAATTCTGATTATTATTATTAGACATTCCAGATGCAAGGACAAGCCTTGGACATTCAGAAGTATCTGATTAATGTCTTTGGTCTGATGGGCAGAAGGTAAATGTATTATGTGATGCATTTTCAACTTGTTCCAAAACTCACCATTGAGATCAACAACAACATTTTCGACATGTGCAAATCCCTATCTCACGAACTCGGAACCAATCTCAATTGCATACAAAGCTTATCCGAAATAGCCTTATAAAAGTCCTCGATCGCTCAAGATATCAAAGACAACATTATTTAGCCTATCCTATCCAATAGTCAGTAATTGAATTTAATCATCTCCAACATCAGAGATTATAGTTCAATTGAAACTGATCAATTCTATCTGAGCTTATCAACATTCAACGTTCGTGAGTAAATCCAAGCGATCGTGGACTTCTTCCAACCTACTTGTCAATAAAAAGGAATCGAGTTAATTTTACCAGCAGAATCTTGTATCATTCAATTCTAATACCTTAGTTCCCATATTCAATGACCGCGATCGATTTCGTTAAGTGATCTTTCAATTAGTGTCTAATGCTGTTCGTTTTACTATCACTGGCAGTATCTAAATATTGATCAAACAGAAGGAATTTGCCTATGAAATCACAGTCAAAGATACCGGAATTGGCATGGTTAGCATATTAATATTTATATTAGGGTTTTCAAGAGGAGAGCAATTTGAGGAGAATCTTGGAGTAAAGGGTGATGTTGAGAGTCTCTGACAATAGTATAGGATCCAGTCTTGGACTCTTTATAAGCAATTTACTTGTCAAAAAATTGAATGCAGATGAAGATTGCAAAATTCAATTCACTTCAAATAAATCAGGGTCATGTTTTTATTTCTTTATTAAAAATATGACTGAATTCAAAGATAACATCGAAAAACTACAATCTAATTTCCACAGAACCATTGTCAAATTTCAAACTATCAATTCATATTATGAAAACATCAATGATGTACAAGTCAAGTTCAGCTAAGCGACTTTTAAATCTATTTTTAGTGGATAATCCAATCTGGATGATGGCAATCTCACTGTTTATTCCAAAGAATTCGATGAAAACAAATAGACTCTTCAACCTATACAATCGATCATTCCACAACTCCAAGATACGATTCAAGCCTATTCGCTAAAAAGCACTTGTTGTCCAAGAGTCTTAATAGTTGATGACGAATACTTTAACATTATGGCCTTATAGATGTTAATGTCCTAATACTCTGCAATTAGTGATAAAGCCTATAATGGAATGGAGGCACTCGAACTCATAAACAACAAATTAGTCAAACCCTGTCACATCTGCCAAAATTGCTGTTATTAACTAATCTTCCTTGATATCAACATGCCCATCATGGGTGGAATTGAAACAGTCAAAGTCATCAAAAGAATGATGCAAAATCGAATCATTAAAAAGGTCTATGTCATTGCCAACACTGGCTTCAGTGATCTGGAAACTAAGGAGAAGGCCTACGATGCTGGAATAGATTACTTCATGACTAAACCCTTGAACATAGCTACTTTCAAGAGCATAGCAGCCAAAATATTTCCAAAAGGATGATGTAAATTTGATGATACTTATATTTATAATTTTAAATTTAATCAAACTATTCAATGGTGTTTATATCCGTACTCTTCCCAAACTATCTTGATCTATCAAATACTTTACAATTATTACTTTTTTTATTTGGTTCTCATTCGAATAAGGTAGGATTCTAGTATAAAACTATCTATCTACAATTAGAGGCAATTCCTTTTTGAAATAATCTTGAACAATCAACACTTATGAAATGATCGAAATCAATCCCAACAATGTTTACAATATTTACTTAGGGTGACTGAAATCTTTTTCATTCTGTCCAGGCTTGCCTTCAATATTCTCATAGAATTGTTTTGTCAACGCTTATACTAATTGAAGGAATGTAGGCAATTTACTATCTTCCAAAAGTACTAAGAACTTTTCGTTTAAAGATATATTGTTAAAAATCTCTAGACTAGCATGAACTATATAATTATTCTCATCCATTAGGAAATTCTAGATTTATAAGTATTGTTTCTAATCCATGATTCTATCCACAATAAAATCACCTAGTGATGTCAATTGCACAATTCCCAATAATGCATAAAATGTCAGTAATTCATGAGTGGCATTCTAAGCACAAACAAAGAGAGCATCACATATCAATTATGCCTCCTTGAAATCAAATAATTCTGGGTTTGCATTTCTCATCTATTTACACAAATAGGGAATTCCAAATTCATTCTTTGATAAGATGGATTTTGATACTAATTTCAAACATTATTTATCAAATAAGTATTAATGAACCTAATCCTCAGAACTAAATTAAGTAAGTAATTTCGATACAACATTTTCATTATTTAGTATGTCTTAATATTAAAATATAAATGATGACAGTAATTAAATTGTTCTCATTTCAAGAGCTATGAATTTTATAATTTATTCTTTCATGATGTATTCGTTTGTATATGTAAAATACTTCTCAGAAATGTCTTATTGATATTATTTAGCAAATTAACGATTTTATTCATATTATTCATCATTAATTTAGAATCTCTGCTTCTGTTCTTCCTTTGTTTCAGCAGATCTATCTGTAGTCAATTATAATAAGATATTAAAGTAACCTACTAAAATTTGATATTGTCTTAACTTCTGAAGTGATGTTTTACCTTCCAATTTAAATTGGTTGTTTATGTTATTATATATCTTTTTAAGTTACTCTCTCTTCTGCATTATCATAATCTTGATATCATCAAATTAAGTAATGAATTATAAGAGCACAATAGATTCATCAATTTCGATATTGTGATCTTCAAATATATGTTCCAACAAGATCTCACAATCTGCCTTGTGAATATATTCATACAATTACAAATATTTACCTTTACTTTAAAGCAAAAAGAGCAAGCAAAACTTTTTGATATTTTAATTGAACTGTTTACTTTTTCTATATTCCTATATATAATCTAGCAATGTTTCAGACAATTTTACTGAATTATCATTGATTTCCTAATTGAATTCATAGTTATTTAATGTCATCATGAGTATCTAGTTTATTAAGTTGATGTATCTCAATTTATTCAACTTTTTCTCTATTGTATTCAATAACTTTATCGCCAAATTTGTGTAAGTCTTTCTAATTGATTCCAGTTAACTATTGCTGATGATTCCTATTAAGATCAATAAGTCCTGATATCTAAAAGTGTCCCTCTTTAAAAAGCCAAAGTGAATTAATTTTGGTTTTGTCAATAGTATAATAAGATCAACAATAAGGTAATACATTTCAGTATTTGTGTCAAAGTCTTCAGCCTTTTTGGCCTTATAAGCTACCTTCTCAATGAATTATTCATTGACAACAGGGTTTTGATTTTAAACAAACAATTAAACTGTGCATTTCAAGTATTTCTCTAAGAAAAAGTATTAATTTTCGATAATCAAATCTAACACTTACTAATTGACTTGGAAATGAGAAAATAATGAGCAATATATGTTAATTAATTCATAAACCTTCGAAGCTTATTCAGATTTGCAATAAAATTCGAAATTGGCCAATAAATATTCCTGTAACCACTTAGGTAAATACTGCATGTGCGATTTGATGAAGCAATATTAAATGTATTTCAGTTATTAGAATATGAATTTTTAAGTGAGAATCTACTAACAAAATCCATTTTCCTTCATTAATTTATCATAATTGATGTAATCTTATTTGCTATACAATTCATTAAAGAATTTGATAGCATCCTTTTCAGTTGCACAACACTTTAGATCATCTATTACATACATAGGGTCACTAAACTGCAGTTTAATAAGCTCCTTTAATTCATTGACTTCTTAACATGGATCTAATTTTTATATAATTTACAAAGCCTCCTCATATTGTTTCATTTAAATTAAAACTTATGCCTTTCGATAATACGCCTTGATATATTTGGGATTATAAGTTATAGATTTGTCAATAAATTCCATAGCCTATTCATAATTTTATTTATTAATGAGACATATTGCACAATTCAAGGCGCATATTGATTTGTTATTATTATCTATATCCTCACCAAGCAATTAATTATATTTTGTAAATGCTTCATCGTAATTTTTAGATATTAATAACTATCTTGCTTCTTGCATTCTTTATTGATATTTATAATAATAAAATATTTGTTCAGAATGATAAGAAATTTAATAATATAAAAATGCATTAAATATAGGATCAAGCTAACTTTGGTAGTTCTTATTCATTTAATGGTTGTTTAGTAGGATCATTCTATTTTGATTATTCTCGCTTTTTGCTATAAGATACTGGGAGTATATTTACTTAAAAGCTCTGATTGCTGCCAATATTATTACACCAATAATGATGGCGATTAGACCATAAAGATGAGTATTTGAGCCTGAATCGATTGAGAAATTTTCAACAAACAGTTACCCCTTGATAGATTCAGTTATTTGCGTTGTAGGACTATCATCAGGTAACGTTTTTGAATATTTTTAGAGCAATGCAACCTGTTGTGACGAAATTGGTAATGAGTCTGGCAATAAATAGACCATTTGATCGCAATTCTCATACTCAAGGTAATATGCCATATTTTCCAATTGTTTAGCAAAATCCTTCAATCTCATTTAGAAATTGTTTTCAATCTAAAAAACTGGGTTTTCTTTAAGGTCATTATCTATTTCTACTGAGAATACAAACAATGCTTTTGAAGGTACAGAAGTGGCATTTATTTCTTTCATGTTTAATTGGATTTCACATTTCACTAAATTTTTATTTGATAATTTGTGAAGAGCTGGGCAATAAATCTCAAAATTAGATGGTCCAAATGTTAAACCTCCTGGTACTTATTTTATTTATATTTTTGACTTATCTTTGACTTCATAATCATCTCCATATCCTATTATATATTCTCCCTCCAATTTAATTGAGATTCTCTTTACAGCCTAATAGTAAATAAAGAAGATGAATACATAAACCCATTCTGCCTAATTTGGATAAGTGAAATACGAATTTTCAATGCAATCTGCTAAGACATGCTAAAACGCTAAAAAGAATGCAATGAGCATTGTTTTTATGAATAAATCAATTTATATAAATATAAAATTATTAAATATTCATGATGATTTTTGTATATTTTCTAAATTTTGTTTATTAACATGAGAAGTAGGAGTGAGGGAGAGTTAAATTTACAAAATTGAAATTAATGAATGAATGAGGTTTTTTGTGTATTCATATTATCAAAATTATTAATGTATTTTGATGTCTTTGTGGAAAGAAGATGCAATTTTTACAATGAAATAAAGTTAAGATAACTTTGGAAATTAAATTAATAGAGGAGGAGGAATTCAGAGAAATGGATTTAGATAGAAGATGGTGTATTTGGCTATTAATTATTTGTAATTAAATAAATAATATATATAAATTAGTAATAAAAAAGATAGATAAATTGAGAGAAAAACGTGATTTATGTGAAATCATTGTGTGCTGAGGATTATTGAGGAAATAAAAATATTAAAGGGCTTAAAAATTCATTAAAAATCTTGAATTTAATAAAATAAAAAAATGAGTGCGAATGATCTATCTAAGCCCGAAAGTCTGGATAACCTCAGCCAACCATCTTCATAGGAAGGACAATAGAGGAAATAATATAAGGTTCATCGATTGGGGAATAGGAAATAATCATCAAATTAAAATTATTACATAAAGGAACAGGCATCAAGCAGAGAGGAGAGAAAATTGAAATCGTATTTGTAGAGGATTGAAGAATAACAAAAATTAGAGGAGGTAAGTCACCTTTAACTTTAGTTTTTATTAAGGCAGCCTTATTGAAACGAAAGCGATCCAAGGTATGTAAAGCTTATTATTCAAGCCAAACCAGGAGACAAAGAGTAGTGAAACTCAAGAGGGTCCAAAGCAAATTGATGAAGTCATGTATATACCATAAATATAATATGAAGTATGCCAATATAGGCCACAGTGTTGCTGAATCCTTTGTTGGTGCCGTAGTAGTCTCAATTAGATGTGACAGCTTAAACGAAGCTACGTCTAAATCCCAAGCTTAAGATGAAAGTATCTTAATTTAAAATATTTTTCAAAGGAGAAACATCACATATTCCTTTACCTCTCAGAGTGGTATGATAGATGTGTTGATAATATGTAAAAACTCAATTCGGGAGCCACTCAGTAGTATTCACCATAAAAAGTAGGCAAATGCGAAGTGACTAACATACAATCAATTAATTAAGATGTATATTAGGACACTCTAATCTTGATGAAAAATTTCAAGCATCAATATTAACAATAGAATGGAAATGATTCAAAAGAGCTATTAAACAGATACTCTGATCGGAAGTTTTTGGAGACGATTCTGAGAGACAATAAATAATAAATAAATAAAAAAAATGGATTGGAGAAGGTTCAAATTTCAAATGGGAAATTCAATCAGAAGAAGAATTGATATCATTACAACTCATTTTATAAATTAATTGTTAACATTTATGTAAATCAATTTTTATTCTTATACATAAAAGAGAATGAAGGTTAATGGACTTAGTAACTTACAAACATTTTAATTAATTTAATAAACTCAATTTATTATGTAAAAATCAATAATAATCACTCATAAATATTTGATATTTTTAGATTATAATTGAAATTAAATTTATATATATAGATGTAATCTCACTTTTTAATGATGTTGAGAATTACCCACAAATCTTATTAATATTAATAAAATATTCAAACTATGCAATGCTCATACACCAGCACAGATACTTCCATAGATGAAGTATGTTATGAAGATGAGCCGAGTATTTCTCAAGTCAAAGAATTTAGAGAAACCTTTTTTATCAATAGATTGAATTCTGAAAAAAAGGAATCAAGAAAAGTCAGTTTCAATGAATTAGAAGTTGTCCTCTTGTTTGAAGAATCAGATCCTCCAGTTATGGTGAGCGAGGATTTGATTCTCTACCAAAAACAAACTGGAACAAACCTTAAACTCTTTAGATATCCAACTACTTCAATATTGAAAAAAGGAATATGAATTTAATAATAAATTGAATTAAAACATATAAGTAGATCTCTTATGAACTTTCATCATTTTTCTCTCTTTTTTTGTTATCATTCTATATTAAGTTTGCTGCCGTCAGATAAACCATTTCAATTCCAGTGTAGTAATCAATATGTCTGTCAAAAAATATATCCAGCATTTATATCGAAGGTGTTTTAACAGACAATGCAAAAATTATTTAAGATAGTATTCTTTTCAAACCAATCAGCTTCTGTTATTCAGAAATATCCAACCTATTAAATTAAAATGACTATAAAGAAGTTCCCTTCTTAAAAATCTAGATAAATGACTCTACAAAGACATTATGCGTTTTTCAAAAGCGATTAACTTATTTTGTGCTAATGTGGTATTTCTGTTATTTAAGCAGCATCCTGAAGTTTATGATTTTAATCAACTGATAGGTTCTCTACTATACATTTTAGTATTAAATTTATTAAGTCGGTTATTATTGGAATTAGGATTAGAATAAGAGCAGTTGAAAATTGAAATCAGTTTATTTTAATGCTTTTGTAATGTGACATCAAATTTCAAGATTTTTACACTGTAAAAAACCTAGACGAACCCTATGCTTTTGGTTTAAAACCCACTTGGTAGTTGTTGATTTTACATAATGAAATTATAATTTATTTTGTTTGTGAAGTGCAAATTTCTTATACAGAATACATTCAAAATACTTAAATCAGGAATTGAGCATCATTTTTTTCCATTTCATAAGGAAAACTAATTTCTGATCTTCTAGCCTATTATAAGTAATTGATAAATTGAACCTTTAGTAAATTCGAACTCTTCATTCAAAATTCTTGAGAAATCTCCTTATTATAACAATAAGGAACCAAGCTAGAAAACTATTTCTTATTTTAATTATAATCAAACATAAATATCTAAATATTGAGAAATGATGTCTTAATATAGATCTATATGATTATAACAATTCCTTTTAGTTGCACATAACAGTATATTCACTTAAGAAATTGTGAAATCCATTGATAATTCTTATCAACTGTATAGAATTATACTATTACAATAATTAGACCTCCATTTAGGTATTCTAACTGTTTATTTGTATTTTTTTGGTAAAATTTCAGTAGTTAGTTATCATACTGAATGATTTTTCACTTAATTTTCACATAATTAATCAATTATTATACACTTTCCAGATTCCATGATATTTCAATATTTCTTAATATACCGAAGAACTTAGCTTTTTTGACTATGGTTATGAGTCCAATTTTCACATAAGTGATTAATTCATTTGAATAAAAGAATGGCTCCATCAAGATAGGTGATCTTCTATAAATAAAATTATTGTGATGAATTCATTCTTTGAAATCATGAATCCAACTTTTAATCTTAGTATAAATTATTATTAAGAATTCTAATTTATTTAATACTATATAATAAAATATAAACACATCAAATTGAATTAAATTATCATCTTATTTTCATCTCAATTGTTTTTGGTTTTCTAATTAAATAAAGTAATATTTCGAATCTATAAAAAGGATTAAAGAATTTCTATTCTTTCCAAAATTATCGCATCTTTAGATAGACTAAATTATGCAAATAAACTAGGGATAGTTCTTAATTCAATTATCAAATACTCGGAATGAATTATCTCATTGTGATACAAAAGATTAATTAGAAAGCCTAATTAAATTTATAACAATTCCTTGAATTGCAAATCTATGTTTTTTAAAATATCGAAAAACTATGTAAAAAATTCTTTATTGAAGTCTTGGCTCAGAAATTTTTGTCTAAATTACTCTTCAATTAACAAGTTTGACAAATAATTAAACAATTATACTAGTAAATTACATGAGGAGAGACTCAATTTAACATTTTCTAAAATTTGAATCGCCGCGATTATCATTTCATCAAATTTGTTATAAAATACAATTCTTATGGAACTATTTACATCAAAACATAGATTTGCACTTAAACTTAATAATGAGGTTGTTAGGTCGATTTCTGTTTGATGTAGACTCAATATTGGACAAAATATTTAAGCATAAAATTTGGTTTCAAAATTTGGATTTGATTATATAAGATTCCTTATTTTGTTGTCTGTCATAATATTTAAAGCATCAATGTAATCTTTGATGCAATCGTAAATTGCTGAATTCTTTTTATTATTAGCCTTATCGAGCAAACTGATTATTTTCTGAATCAACAGATCAACTCCATTGTATTTTCTTATGAATTACTCTTAGTATAACTAGTTTTTTTCTTAATAGCATTATAAGATCATTGCTGGGAGACTAGCCATCAACTAATTTTTTAAGATAAAATACGTTGTATTAATCATGTTAGAGTTCTTCGTCCGATTAAATTATTTATATTAAAGTTTCAATTCCCTTCTTATCATAAAAATAGGCAGCTGCTTCATCTGTGTTCTTCTACATCACCTAAAATGCTTGAAAGAGATCAAAGTTTTCCTTTTGTTAAAAGAAATTGTCAATGACATCCTAATAATTCAATTCTGAATCAACGATCCTTTTCTTCGGAGTACCATTGCTGTTGATCTCTTATTAACTATGCTATTGTTGTACATACTATCTTTCCACATCTATTTTTAACTTTTCAGCTTCCAAGCTCTTCGGATCAATTATCAAGGCCTACTCAATGTCGGATAGAGCGAGAGCAAACTAATTCACCTTAAAGAATGCAAATGCTCTTCTTAAATAAGCTTTAAAACAGTTATCACTATTGGCCTTCAAGGCATCCTTTCCTTAATTAGCTATCTCCAATACTTTTGAACAATCTTCAATTGCTTGATGAAATTAATTTAATTTGATATACGAAATAGCTCTATTGAGCCATAAGACCACATTATCTGAAATCAATTGCAGAGCCTCAGTATACATGAGGATGGCTTATTAATAATTAGCATTACAATAGTAATTGTTCCCTTTCTTTTTCAAATCATCAGCCTTCTAAATTTTCAACTTTTCTTATTCAGAATCCTTTGAATTGGGTAATTTATTATTATTATCAGTGTCTTTAATGGGGGAATTGGAAATAGCAAATTACTATAAGGTTTAAGTGAATTCGAAATTGGATGATGAAAGTGAATTTAATTTTAAGGATTGTGATTGTTTTTATTTTTAAATTTGATCAATAATATTGTCAAGTTGTATTTACGATTCTCTTAAAGCTTAAAAATCTAATTACAATTAAAAGTCTTTGGATTACATCTATGAATATTCTCAAAAAATTATAAATAATATTAATCCAAGGAATATTATTAATCTCATATAATGAATTTCAAAGGAGGAATGGAGGCTGAAGCGATTCGAAAAGAGAAAGGGGAAGAGAAGGATGACTCTGAAAAGACTGTTCTTCTTAATCATCTAATAATTAATATTGAATATTGATGTATAGATATACTTATTGTATTATATTTCAAATAATTTCTACAAATGCTTTTGGATGTTAAAAGACTGTAGCTGTTGGTTTGACGACTTCAGCATTTCTTGGGAGGACTGGTTGTCTTTTGGTTGAAATATGTTTTTTTTATTTATTGGCTTCTGTTTTCTTTTTATCGTTCTCTTGGACTCTCTTAACAAATTCCTCTCTGCATTTTGATGGTCTCAAATGATCAGCTCTGACATGGAATCTCTTCTCGACATATCTACCTCTGACTCTTCTTTGTAATGAGACACCAATTCCTCTTGGATTGACATTGAATACTCTGGCAGTACGTCCATGGTAGTATTAGAAGGGGACACCCTTGTGTTATGCACCGTCAACCAAAATATCGACGAAATCACCTAGGATTCATGATGGGAATGTACCTCTTCTGAAGGTTTGGAGTGTTTTGCGAATGCTAATGTTTCCATGTCCTCTGAAGGGTTTAGCAAACTTGCTTCTTGTACCTTTTTTCAAACCATAACTATGTGTCATTTTTTGAAGATATTAATTTTTTTTTAAATTATTTATACTCACATAATTAGAAAGCCCTTGATTGAATAGGAAATTTAAATTTATTAATGTATGTTTGTAATATATAGATCATTGAGCTGCGACTGGAGCTTAAACCTTGGTGGCATCCTTTTTTTAAGTTGTTTATTAAACAGGTCGTTTTCTTTCAATGACACGAATTTTTCTGTCCTCTGAAGATCTGACTCTCACAATACGAGCATGGATAGCACATGATACGCAATACTATACTGATTAATATAAACACTACTTAGAGTTTGTCAAACAATTTAGGAATCGACTATTATTATTTGGTGTCATAAGCTGATGCTTCCAAGATATCCTTTTTTGATGATGCATCAACAATGTCTCTGACTGTGAATCTCTTGATGGCCTTATCTTTGCCAACTAATCTGCAACAATTGGAGCATGTAACTGGTTTGACATGTCCTCTATTTTTCTTGGAACGACCATTATTTCTTCTCTTTGATGGCATAAGAATTTTTATTTTTTAATAATTTATTTAAAATGATTTAATTTTTTTTCATATTAACATCCCCAATACACAAATCAATTTAATTAATTATAGTACATATTCATTATAATCAGTAGTCAATCATAGGAAATATATCATTCAAAATCGAATTCAATTCATTCTAATCCAAAGGCTTAGTTAGGTAGTAGTCCATCCCTGACTCATAACTCTTCAGTTTAGTCTCCAAATCACAAAACCCAGTGTTGGCAATGCAAAATGCCTTATTGATGATCTATTAACTCATCATTCTCTTTAATTCTTTGACTGTATTAAATCCATCCATTATTGGCATATTGATATCTAAAAATATCAAACTATAGTATTTATTTCCGCAAATTTTGCAGGCGTTGTTTCTCTTATTCAAAACTTAGTTAATTGCTTCACTTCCATTATAGGCAGAATCACATTTTGATTAATATTTAGTCATTAACAATTTTAAACATTAAATGTTGAAATATTCATCATCAACAATTAATACTCTTGAACAGCAATCGCTTTTTAAACTGCATTGGATTATAGATTATTAAAATTTGGGACTTAAAATTGGGGGATGAATTGAAAACACACTATCTTCTTCTTTTTAACTTTTAATCTCATGACTCAAACTAATTTATTTTGTTGATGGAAACACATACATTTTTGTATTATTTTGATTGATACTTCCCTTCAAACAAATAGATTACTCCTTGATCTAATTCTCGAAATAAGAATTGGCAGAAATAAATCTAATTGTTTAATTGCTTCTATTAGTCAATCGAGATGATTTCTTCCTCGTGAACTCTTTGGTTAACTCATAAAAATGGTTTTTTATGGCAAAACTGAATTAACATCCTTTGTCCATCCTCTTCAATTCAATTTGATTGTCTTGATTACCCATCTTCTTGACCAATTGATTCGATATCCCTAAACCCAATCCAATACCCACAGATTGTTCTGAAACTCGAATGAACTTGTTGGATTTCAACAACGAATTTAAATTATTTGCCTCATCTTCACTCTAATTGAATTTATTAAATGTTTACCATCCCAACACCATCATCTGCAATCAATACTTTGCACTCCAAATTGTCATTGATCACTACAATCGTAATGGATGATTAAAATGTATATTTAATGGCATTTTACAGTAATTAAAATAGAACCTACCGGAATCTTGTTTTGTCTCCCACCAAAGTAAAACATTGCAAATCAAATTTATAATCTACTTTTATTTATTTACTTTCAATGCTTTCTGAAAATAAAGATACCATAAATTTAATTTCTTGTTCCACATCCAATTCTTCTAATTTTAATGAAAATTGCTACAAATTAATTAAATTATAATCTCGTATTGACCCAACTATTAGACTTAATTACTCACAATTAATCCATATAGGATCCAAAAACTTCAATTTAGTGTACTTATCCACTTTATCGTCATCCAAAGCCATAGCTGTAAATGTGATTATACTGTTTAAATTGGTTCCCAATTCATGAGACAAGGATCTGCACATATCTACTTCCATTGATTCTTCCATTTCCATCTTCTTCAATTTGAATGGCACTTGCTCTATTTGAATCTAATAACATTTGATGTCCTCATATATTTAACAACTCAGAAGCACTAGATGATCTTCGTATTTTATGTAATCATTTTTATCGATGACTCCCAAGATCCTTTAATCTAGTGATAATTGTTCCATTAATTATTTTAGTTCGCAAGACTTGATTTAATTCTCGAAAATATAATTTAACCTTAAACTTAACATTATTTGAATGGCCTAATCACAATAACTTTGATGATTCATCAATTTCTCGAATTCTATTTAGCAGTCTATCAGTTCAAATTCTTAATTGAATATTAAGGAATTTTGAGGCAGAATCACTCTTTTCGTTGAGGAAGTTTGAATAAATTTCTAATGTTATTTTAAAGAATCCCTGCCTTCGTCAATTTCTATAATCACATTGGCTTCTTACAATTTAACTCTCTAATCTATTATTAAATTGTGTTTTTACACTCTGTATAACCATACAATAAATATAATAACCTAGACTAAATTTAGGGATGTTATCGTAATGTTATTGATGACTCCTCTGATCTGAAAAATATTGAAAGCCATTTAAAACATAATCAGAATTGGATATTGTGGCTGTTTTATCATGTCAATAGATTTAAAAAACATTTAGCTTTAAACTAATGAGCAAAGCATGAATTCCTAACTTTCTTATTAAGCAATCCACAACGATATGATCTTCAAGATTATGCCTATGACATCCAATTTTTTATTCCAAGCATCCTTTTTTAAAAAGTAGCATAAAAGCGAGATGATTATTCCACTTGAATAAAGAATACTTTGAAGGAAGAGCTGAAGAAATGAGTTGGCTATCTTAATTTGAAAATGCATACCTAAATTGATGTAAACTAGCAATCCCAATTAGCAAATATCACTCATAAGAATGTGTTACTACGAAATCATTTTTATTGTTTGATATAATAAATTTCCCAAAGTTCTCTATTTAGTTAATAACAAGAATACTGATTTAATTAAATTTGAACCTTATTTATATTATGAGCCAATAAGTATTTCTTTCAGTAAGCGTCAACGAAGACGCAATTTATCTATGCACAATTTGAGAATTAATTCAATGGAAAAGGAGGGGACAAGGGGTAAACTCAGAAGTGCAACACTAGAAACGAGTGAGTAGGACATCAAACTTACATTACAGCTAAAGCACGCACAATAATTTATTGTAAAATGTAGAGATGAAATATTTAAATTATAATATAAAATGGCTGATACATTTTTATTAACAGAGGCCCAAATCACGCAGAAGAAACCAGTGCAATTGAGTCCTCCAAAGATAGAAACTGAAGCCGAGAAGAAGGAGAGACATTGGCAATAGATTCTGAATAAAATTCTATTCAATCCTCCCAATGATGACTATTATCAAAAATGGCCTATCAAACCAGGTTAATTTGAATCCATTAACCCTTAATAGGAATATTTTTCTACAAGGCTTTGGCTCTGGGAAAATTGCCGACTGAACAAATAAGAGTCAACATCCCTGAAAGTATAATGTGTTTTGAATAAACATACATTTTGATGTACACCGACCCAACAACTGGGTAATTGATGAGAAAGACGGATATAGGATATTAGGATTTCGAGAATAAGGTATTTGGTCCATTAAATTAGGTGCATCAATTTCATGAGGAATATTTGAAACGTCATGTAAAAGATGACAGATTTGATGCGAGAACCAATGTATTTACGAATTAGGATAATCCATACATAATAAGTAGAGGTCAAACTGGGTAGGATTGGAATATGTCTAAGGCTGTCTATACATTCCGATAATAAAAAGAGAGAAAAGTTTAATTAGATAACAATAAATTAGAACAGCGATTCGTAATCTCAAGAGTAATGAAAGCAACCATTGTTCGACTAGTATTCTATACTAAGAATTCAAAATCGTCTCATGCCAATTACGGTTATCGAATCATGAACCTAATGGAATTGTACGATCCCAATCCCAAAAAATCAATCACCAACAAAACCACAATCAACACAGAACAACAAAATTCATTCACCATACAATAAATTAAGGGAGTGGGACTCTATGAATACGAAAAGGTTTGCGAATAGATTGTCACCTATTTGGAGAAGAATTACCCTGTCAGAATCAAGACGGGTGTCTTTGACTTTCTCCAAGACCCAGAGGGAAGAATCTGGTTATTCAATTGCAAATAATTGATAATGGAAAATGCTATTTCCATGAGTGAAATTCAGGGAGTAGGCTAAGGAAAGAAGACACTCGATCAGTTGACTTGTTCAGTCTATTGTAAGTTGTGCGGCATCATATTTAAGAAGGACGATGCTAGCAAAACACTTACCTATAAATTATTATGGGAATTAGTTTAACATTTGAAAAAGCGAAATAAATACTTGACAAATATAAAAGTATCTCATTTATCTACCAGACCTTGTAGAGTATGTGATGTTTGCTATATGTTGATCGTAGGAGAACATGAATTAGTTGAAATTGAGCAGAAATTTGCCATAGCTTAAAACATTCCATTGGGAGATGCTATCATCAGAGTTCCTATGGATAGTAAACCAAAACATAGACCAGCCTTATTGAATGAATAACTGTATCAATGGAGATTACTCTTTTATTTAGAGATGGTGGATTTGTAAGGTAAGAAACTAATAGATCTAAATGGCAATCCTGTTGCCGATCTAAAGAACATAGTTTTACAATATCGTTTACATCAATCAAAATCATCATTTAAAACCCACATCATCAAAGATGACAACTATCAAACGTTGAAATCAAATAAACAACCAACTTCACAATCACAATAAAAGTAACTTAGATTTAGTGGAATTGAGAGATCTGATTCTATCGATATTCCAGAGGGACAAATTGATGATCAATTTGCTTAAGTCAATGATGAAAATCTAAAATTGAATGTCATCAGAGTCCATTACTTTTTTAGTGAAACTACAGACATTGAGAAGTTCCTGTCAGAAACAGAGATTAAGATGAGATTGTGTTTAGGTTCAGAGTGGGTTAATTACGTGGCAGAAGGATCTACTAAGACCATACATCACTTTAAAAATTCACAGATGGGAGGTCAGAGACACAGAGCTTAGGTTCTATTGTTTTTTGCAAATGGCCATTATTGTATCTTGAATCTCTAAGTTGGATTGGTACTTATAGTTTTATATATCATTAGTTTTGCGATGGCCAATATAATACTGGCAAATTGAATCTGTACAAGTATAATAATGTGTACTTTCCAGATGACAATTACTACAATTGCAATCCCTTTCCTCCTGAATGGATGGAGATATTTGATCCTCAGTATGTGAATATGCATAACACTTTTGAGGAGTAAGTAAAAGAAATAGAGGCTTACTCTCCGAAGTGTACAAAGCATGAATTGAATCAAATGATAGACTTCAACAAATACAAGGAAACTACCAAATACAAGGCAGTTAAACCTAAAATTGATGCCAAAAAGAGAGATATTCAATCAGCTGCTCCTCAATACGGGTCAAATACTTAATAGGTATTACCCAAATTGCCGTAGTCGGCTAAGAAATACTCGAATACAATGAGATAAATCGATGAGCAGCAATTATTGTAGCATTACACTTTGGAGGAGTAGGATATAGGGGAGTTGCTATTCGAGGAGAAGAAATAGAACAAGAAGATGAGCAAGGAAGATAGGGAGTTCTATGAATAACACAACCTGTATGATGAGGAGGCAGAGGATAGTTAAGAGGATCAAGAATTGAATTTGAGATTGAACAAGCAAATCCAAAAGTCAATGAAGTAGTTGGATAATTAATCGCAACAGTCTAATTCTGTGAGACCAATAAGATCAGCATAATAGTTACCACCGAAAGGACACAGATGATAATATATTATTATTAATATAAAAATGGTATATCAGTGGACAAACTTTGTCTGGGAAACCAATGCATGGTGGTTGAGAAGAATCAGACCTGTACATTTGTTACACTATCATCAAGTTTGTTGTCTTGGGAGCATTTGGATTCACAGCATTCTACGGGGGCAGATATTATTTCTTTGGAAAGTGGGCTTATTATAAACAAAGACAATTTTCGGAGGCTGAACTTGTAGCATAGGCAGAAGTCAATAAGAGGTGTAATTGTCATACTAATGCTGTATAGAAATTGGGGATATGGAGTTTGGTACAAACCAACATTGGAGAGAAGCAGAAAGAAGTTGTTGCAAGACGCATTGAAAGGTATTGGAATGAGATACATTTGTGTAGATAAATATAGATACGCTATGACATGGGAAGAGTTGTTTTATGAGGATCCAAGACCAGTGGAAGAAATTCTGGAGGAAGAAAACTCCTGGGAAGAATACGAGATATGACAAAATTCAATATTCCCTATATTGTTATAGATATATATAATTTATTTCATATGAAGAGAATCCATATGAAATTCACATCACTCATTCTTGTTTTAGAGATGTGGTGATAGCTTAAGCCAATTTCACTAACTCACTTATATAACTAGATTATTGATATATAATTGCGTACGTCGAAGTCAATGCTGATCTACTAACTACTGATGACTCAATCTTATTTCGCAATGCCACGATTTCATTTAATTGTACTGCATCAGACAGAAGTCTTCCTTGTTTTCTCTGTGGCCCTTTCAATGGGAATTATAGAGAATCACTCGGTCTTTGGAATAACTTCTATTGTGAAGATTGAGATTTCGAATTTTGAGATTGCTTTTCGTTTGAATTAGTCACTACATTCTATCCCAAGGTGTTTTAAATTCTGAATATATTGGCTAAACACAGATTACATTTGTTTCATTCCATAGGCTTTATGAGGAGAGTAAAGATTCTTCTAGGGTGTAAAATTATCGTTAGAATTATAATTTAAAGTTGCCTGACGTGATTAAGATAAGTCCCGAATCCTCACTTGCAAATTGTCGAAGGATGGCACTCCTTAACGATTCTCCTTTCTTTCATAAGAGGTTGTTCTTACCTCACAGAATTGAAAGTCGATTAATTCAAATCACTGGTCAAACTCAAATTCCACTTGTCTTTGGCTTGAGAACGGAACGATTTCAAATTGAAGTTATCATCCAGGAGTCTGCGTTGAGATTAATCGATGTATGTTCTCATGGGATATATTTATTAATATTTAAATTATGGAAACTATTCTATGGGCATAATTAAAAAAAATAAATGTTGTAATCAGAATTTTTTCATATGTCTGACCGAGATTGAGTTTTTGAAATCATACAGTGAACTCAGTTAAGGCAAGATAGATTTTGGAGAACATTGGGTAGTAGACGGCTTTGAGCGATTGGCTATGTATTAACTAATGGGTCTATTGGCTTATTTCACATAGTAGACTCGTTCCAACTTTTTTTATCCCTTGGGAGACGAGAGGAAATGAGCAAAGGACTTACGATTTTGATGCATCTTGGGTTTAAAATGATAAAACTCCTCGTCGGAATCATGTTCATTCAAAACTTCAACATGGTGTTGTTGTTTCAATTACCTTTACTCCAACTAATAAAAATTACTTAATTCCTTCCGCAAGCAAATTGGCTACGGCAGAAGGCTTGTGTATGTGAACATTCTAGTTGATTGCCTTCTTCATTTTATTCCTTTGTCTGTCTCTTATTTTTTGCACAATCTTGTAACGAATGATGAACTGCACACAATGGACGTACTTCCTGAACCTTCTATAGAGTCTCTTTCTTCGATTGAAGCTAAGATGTATAAAATTAATTCAATATACTTGCTTTCGAAGGCAAATAATTGAAAAGTCTTTTGTATAAATGAATTATTCTTACCACAATTCACACAATTGCAGCTAGAATTTCTCATCGTTGCTGAAAAGTACTTTTTCAATCTTCTTGATTATCGCTCACTAAGTTATGGAGTCTCCTCCACAAGTGGTATCCTATGCTTTGTGAACAGCTACAATCTATCCAAGAATCGGAATGGCCTGCTGCCTTACTGTTAAGAAATAATCTTGCGATGTTATTATTTGATTGGTGACTGAAGCAATGATTTATTCATTTTATTAATAACAATAAATTGAATTAACTGGAATTGATCTAATTCAAATTATACAAGATTGCCAATAAGAATTTAACATACTAATTTCATTTATTTTCATTTTCCTAATCAAAATTATTCCATTCATTATTTATGCCATCTCCCAATCCAATAAAAAGTTTATTTAAAAATAAAATATATTCATACTTAGAAAACAAATGATTAAATCACATTTTCATTCATTCCTTAACTATTTAGGATTTAACAATCCTAATTGAAACTCAATATTTGATTTCCCATTATGTAATTATAAATTCAGAATCTTTACTGCACTTAAAAGAATTAATATGGTTAGATCAAAAAACTATCAAAGATTTTGGCTCAGTGGAATTTAAGCATTAAACCATATATTTTTAAATGCAAATACATACGACTCTCTTTACATTTTTAAATGAATTTGTAAATTAGAATTTGTCTCCTAAATTTGAAGGGACAAGAAGTTCCTCCTTTTTTCCTTCTACTTCAAATAAGTGGATGAGTTTGTTTAAATTAGAATTGATTATTACTTAACGAATTTATAGTTTAAATTTAATTAACAGGTGAAGTAATAAATTGAATTATGGAATATCATCATAAATACAGTTATATACACAAACTATTGATTGTGAAAATTATAAATATAATATATAGTATTTATTTTACAAATTTTCTGATAGAATGTTCTTTTAAGATTAAAAATTCTATTCTTACGTGGAAATAATAAAATTAAAAAATAATGAGGACAAGCATTTTGGTCTTCATTTTACTCTCCTGCACCTTAGCAAAATAATTGTATGATGTTAAAAAGTCATATGTCACACCTGTGAATGAAATAAATTTTGAGAAGTAAATTAACAAGATAAGACAAACTACTAAATATGTTACAATAGTTCATTTCTACAAATTCTCAGGTACATATGTGAATTTAATGCGGTAGACGGGGAAAGTAAATAATTTGCACCAAAATATGATAAATTTACAAATGAATATAAAGGCATTTTCAGAATAGCCTCATGTGATTGCGATGAAGCTGAAAAGATTTGTTAGAAGGAGAGTGTCTCAAAGTATCCCACATTTAGGGTTTATCCCCCATATCCTGTTCCTGCAATTGATTACGAGGGTCCTCTTGAAATTGATGGAATCCTGAAATTGGCTACAAAATACATCCACAACAATGCTATCGAAATTAATGAAGCCAACATCAACACATTTATAAATGAGAAACCTACAGTTCCTAAAGTCTTGTTATTTAGTGAGAAGAAAGGATTCCCACTTGTTTACAAAGGATTGAGTGTTGAATTCGAGGTATGTGCATTTGTCAAATGTCAAATAGAAAAAATTATCGTTTGGTATAGTGAGGTCAACTGAAAAGGCCTTGTTGGATAGATACAATATCAAAGAATTCCCTAAGATGTTACTTATAAAGACTAATGAAAAAAAACCTTATCCATATACAGGAGAGTATAAGTTTAAGCCAATGTTTGATTTCCTGAATGTTCACAGCGAAGTATTTGTTCCAGGAGGCGGATCATCTGCTGATAGTGCTGCGACAAAAGAATGGTTGATGCAAGTTGTCCCTCAATTACATCAAAGATCTGCAAATGATATCTGTTTAAAGGTGGAAGGTGTGATTTGTATAATCTTGATGAACAATGGAGATAAACCGTAATTTATTATTTTAACATTTTTAGAGACAACCGTTTGATAGACGAATTGAAGAAGTTGAACGCACAATATGAGAGACAAATCGACAGAGGAGCAGTTTTCAAGTTTATGTGGCTAGATGCAAAGACAGAATCAAAAGTAATTAAAATTTGGTATACTTATTTTAGTGGGGCTCAACATTAGATTTCTAAGGAGAACCTAAAGTTGTGTTATTGAATCCAGGTAAAAGAAAGCGAATGGCTGTTCATGAGGGGGAAATGAAATTTGAAGCCTTATGTATTTTATTACATAATAATTATTTTAGAGTAAACTTTGGAAAAGTTGATCAGTGGAGATCTCAGATTCAAACCTATAGGAGAATCACTGCCTGATTTTGTGAAAACTGATTTGTGAATATTTTTAATTAGCTCATTATTTGAATTTCACTTTAAACAAATAAAATACTATTAATTATATTTGATTGTTCAAACATGTTAGATCATAAACGAAATCTATCCTTAAAAAATATCAATGTGATTGTTAGTTGTTAGAATAAACAAGTGAGCATTGAGATTTCTATTGAAAAGAATGCGTCTGAGTTGATGAACAAAGTCCATATATTATTTTAATTTGATAGTTATATCAACATCCTGAAACACCTAATGCTTAATAGATTGTGGCATTAAGAACAGCTTCTCACTCTATCACCTTAGATTACCTGCTGTCTATTCCCAATGAAAGAGGTAAGCATTCCAATGATAAATGAGCCTAACTATCAATTGATAAGATTAAATAAGAAAATTTAATTGCAGTCTACGGAAAACCATAATCTAAATCAACATTGAGTCTAAGAGATTTCAGATTCGAAAATTGTATAGGAAGAGGAGGAACATCTGAAGTTTATTTGGTTAGACATTGTACATCTGGTCGATTGTTTGCACTCAAAATGATAAAGAAACAATACATAACTGATTGCAGACGCTTGGAGCAAGTTCTAAGAGAAAAGAAAATCCTATCCTAAGTATTGAATCAATCTAAATTTGTAATCCCATTGTATGCAACCTTTGCAATCAAAGATCATCTATGTTTTCTAATGGAATATTTACCTGGAGGTGAAATGTTTTATCATCTTCAACATTATCGCTTCACAGATGAAGAAGCAAGACTCTATATAAGTGAAGTTATTTGTGCTTTAGAAGACTTGCATCAACATAACATCTTATATAGAGATCTTAAAGTAACATATCCGATTTTTAATATTAGCCTGAGAATATCTTAATTGATCTTAAGGGTCATATTAAACTCACTGATTTTGGACTCTCTAAACTTGATTTGAAGGATGACCAACTGGCAAATAGTTTTTGCGGATCTCCTGAGTATATGCCACCTGAAGTAGTCAATCGACAAGGGTACTCCTATCCAGCTGATTTCTACACCTTGGGTTGCTTACTTTATGAATTACTCCTTGGAATACCTCCTCATTACTCTTAAAATACAGAAGAGATCTTCTATAAGATCCAAAATGAAGAGATAACTTTTTCAGATGAACTCAGTCCTGATGTGCTATTTCTACTCTAGAATTTACTAGAAAAGGATTTTAATAAGAGAATTCATGATTTTCATACTCTCAAAAAAAATCCTTGGTTTACTTCTATTGACTGGTCTGCTATTAAGACTTAATCAATTAAAGAAATGCCCATTACCTTTAATTTGAAAGACACTAATATTCATGAAGAGTTTTTATAAATGGATGTTAGCCATTTAAATTAAAAAAATGATGCTGGAGAGTTAAATAGTTGTGATGATCTCTTTGATTTTTTTAATTTTGTTAATGAATCATTAAAAGATGTATTTTAATTCAAACCAAAATTAAGAGTATAGAGTGATCACATTATTGACTTAAAATTGCTATAATTGAGAAAATAAAGCAACCATAACTAAAATATTAATTCAAATAGTAATAACAATAAAATAGTTAATAAAAAAAAGAATCTAAAATTAAATTTATAAGATATTGAAAAATAAAAGAAATTTACTCAAAAAATGTCCTTAACTCCCTAAAACATTATGCCACTTTCCTTACTACGCAAGTCATTCTAGAATTTAATCAGAGATAAACCTTAAAATAGAAATTAGGAAAAACAACCAACATATACATCTGTTTTATCAGACAGACCAGCATTCGATAAAAATTAAGTACGTATCTTCAATATATATTATAGGTTTTAAATTTACTGTCAACCTTGAATTTTCAAAAGAAAGGATAGAGTTCTCTCCATCAGCAGACATCTTGGAGACCTATGGAAATTAAAAGAGGGTCTAGTTCTTCAGCCCATCTTAAATCTAATTTATAAATAATAAGCAAAAAATGATATGAATCATATTACTACTAAATAATTAATTCATGAAATAATTAAATAATTAAAAATATTAACTTATATCTTAGATTCAAGTTAAAATTATGATATTAATGCAACTTACATATCATATAAATGATGTTAAATTATAATTAATTATTCAAATAAATTTAATGATTTTAGGTGATATAAAAAATACTAGCAGGTCGTTATTGTACATAAATTATAGAGATACAAGTAAATACTGTTCGTTAGAAAACATACTACTAGTCTATCTAATATAATTAGCTTATTTTTTAATATCTAATCATAAGGCAAATATTAAGAATCAGTATAAGTATAAGATGATCTACAAATCGTACTCAAAATCTACTTTCTGATTCCTATTAAGTCAATGAATAAATAATTTAGTTAGATGAATAACTGTGAACTCTTGATTAAAATCAACTTATGTTTGCATTCATTATAATAATAAAAAGGATTAGATAAGTGACTTGTCAAATAAAGGAATTATGATAATAAAAACAATCAATTTATAAATTATTATTATAATTAATGAAGTTATTGATATTATTAATATTGTTATCAAGCATTTTATGTCGAGAACATAGACCAATGGCAGGAGGTAAATTCAAGCCAGATTCAAATGATCAAGGGTTGGGATAGGCAATAGCGTTTGCAAAATAAAATTTTCAAAGTTCTAATTGTTTAGATAATAATTAGCATCATGTGGGGGGACTTCAGGATATTCATGGGATAAGGTATTGAATGTGGAATAGCAGATTGTGAATGGAAGCAATTATTATATTTCAGCTTAGTTGAAAAATGGGGATAAAACAAAAAATGTTAAAATTGTAGTTTATATGCCTGCTTCACCACCAGGCATAAGAATAACTTCATGCTCAGTATTTTGAAATATGTCATAATGATAAGATAATTCAAATGATAAAGTCTTTTTTGATTTTTTTATTTTGTTGATCTTGTCCAAAGACTCTCGTTACTAATTTAATGAGATCCCTTTTAGTAATGCTTTTTTCTAGAATTTTGAAGAGAGACTCTGCAGTGATGTTATTGGTGAGCCAATCGAATAGTTTTTCTTATTAGTGATCGTTTTTTTATCTAGATAAGTAAATCTGAATAAGTATTACTTTATCTTAATTAATTCTTACCATAAAAAGGCATTCTCCTTTTTTAATTTATCACTTTGTTGAATGATGTAGGTAAACAGAGACTCCAACTCTTAGTTTCTCAACGTTAACATAGACAATTCTTGATTAATTTATTCGATGTTTGGCAGTATGATAATTGAATCGTTGACTTTTCTTTTGATTTAGGGAAGCAACTCTCTTTATTGTCTTTAAAATATTTTTACTTCTAATTTCTTTTGAACAATTTATGTTTAAAGGAATTCTTCTCTGTCTTATGAAAATCATACATATTCAACTTATAATCTTGAAAATGAGTGTTACCTGTCTGACAAATGAGGCGAAATTGGAGTGTTTAAAGTAATTGGGCAAGATGTCATTCTGAAAAATATTGATGTCTTTCACTTGAAATCCGTCTCCGTTGTCATTCCAACTCACGATATCGTCGTAATCTGAATGCTTGAATAGGTGGAATGAGATACCTCTAAAATAGAATATACTTTATACAAGAAACCAGGACCTTCTTTATTCATTATTAAATATGTTATTAATTATACTACTATCAATTAATGCATTTGCATATGTGCATAAACAGGAGCAGCACTTGATGGACTTGTATAACAAAATGAATGGGATAAAAGAATTCCTATCCTAATTGGAATACTATACAGCTTTGGAGAAGTTGGAAATGAAATAAAAGGGCAATCTTGAATTTGAAGAGGAAAGCCTCACAATTTACAAGGAGCATTATCAAGAAGTATTGTCAAACGTCATAATCTAGTTTATTAAATCCTTCAAGTAGTAATAGACAAGCAGCAAAAATGAGAAAGAAGAGATAAAATAGTTTTTGAGGGAAACATTTCCGGAAGTCATTGAAAAGATAAAACGAATAATTGCAGATAAAGTAAATTTATAATTAAAATTAAGGAAAAATTAATCGAAGGTGATATCAAGGAACTGGCCAAGTTAAAACACTAATAGCCAGAAGACATCAGTAAAAGATTCGAAGAGTTCAACTACCTCCATTAAAAGATCTAGGAAGGTATTTAAAAATTAATCATTTAAATTAGTATTGGAATCCAATGATGAGTAAGACATATACAAGACCTTGGAGTTGTTGGAGTCAAAGATTATGATAGGCTCTTTCAAATAGATGTAAAGTTAAGAAGTGGATTTCTTTATGAAGAGTGTTGACAAACTCTTCAGGGAAAAATAAAATCCAAATAAGAAATAAGAATCCATCCAATTAGTTAGTTTAATGCGAAGTATAATATCTGAGTATCTCATCAAAATGATGAATGATTAACTTGAATCTTCTTTTGATTTATTGGATAAGGAACTCTTCTTTACCGAATCCAAAAATACTCATGTCAGCGCCAAAGATTAATACGTTGCTCTCTTACGAAGATTAGAATGTAATCCTTCTCATATCCTTAGAATTGCACTTCACAGTTTGGAAAGAAGTGATGGAATTGCCATATGATAATTACCTATTTGAAATAGGTGAAAAATAATATGAATAAGCGACTCAAATAGGCAATCGAGCCATTTCATATCACACTTAAATGGACGAGATGATAAAAGCGATGTTAGAACGTTTTTTGTAAAGATGAAATTAGTTTCTATGAATAATTAAATTATGCAATTATTGATTTGCAATAATATATAGGTTTTATTATCAACTTGTGAAATCTTTTTAAAATTTAATTGAAATATCCAATCCATTGGCATTTATTCAATTCAATGAAGAGTCTGAAATATCTTATTTAAAATTTTGAGAAAATCTATTTACTCTAAAATTCACAATAGATAAATATAATCGATATATATATATTATAATCAAAACAGAATGGACTTTCGTTCACTTGAAAGTTTCTGTTGGTTCACTTTGATGATTTCAAAATTGAGTTATTGGACTTTTTAAAATTGTTTAATCCTTCTGACGAATTTTTCAGAATCGCTTTAAAGAATTTAACTTTGTATAGAATTGCTTGTTCTATACATATTGTCTATATTGATTTCTAGCATAGAATTAAGAGATGAATCATTAGACATGCTTACATTGCGAGATGTTAATTCATTGTTAAAGTTCTTTATGAAATGTTTTGGTCTCTCCTCATTTCTGGCAGTATAGCACATTCTCTCTGATATGTCTGTTCTTGCTCCTTTGTCTTTGTTCTTCATAAACATATAAGCGTATAATTTAACATCCTTACTGAGAGGATCATTCAAAACATATTTCTCCTTTGAAAACCCTTGATATTGATTATTCTTCATAAGCATTTTCCTTTTCGCTTTGTTTAGAATATCCTTCTCCTTTTATTATCGTTCCTTTTAAAATCCTCTCAGTTGTTCATTAATAGCATCTCGAACCTTTTATTTAATAAAGGATTTCTTTTCACAACTAGCTGTATTGCCTCTTTATTATTCCACTTTTTTAACTCTTAATTACCCATGAGTTTTGTATTTTACATTATTAAATTCACGTTGCCCATCAGCTCTCTCAGTTAATAGATTTTTTTGCTTTATTTTATTTTTGTTCTCTTCACTCACCTCATAAAGTTGTCTAAAAAGTTACACATCTCTAAGGTTATTTTCTTCATTCGGTTCTGTCTAAGAATTCTTTTAAATTAGTTTCTTAATCTTCTCAAATCTCTAAAAGACCCTCACTTTTTTCTCAATCTCTTCATCCGTAAGTCCCTGTTAATGTAGTGACTTGTATTTGTTTCCAATTTACAACTAATTTGCGAACATATTGGCTCTTTTAATTAGTTTAATCCTACTTTTTAACTTGGCTTCCTTTCTATTTAAGTGATTGCATTCATTAACTAAGTTGAGAGCAGAACGTTCCCCGCATAAATATTCTCGAAAACCTTATCTTAGCTTTTCATTAAACGAAAATGGGTTTGGCTTATGCAACGGAGATGAAGTACATATTGGATCATTCATCAATTAGTATTTTTATGCAGCCAATCTCTATGCTTGATTTTTAGATTTAAGAGGATTGTTAAAATTTCCAAACATCTGATCCCAAATTAAGAGATTTTATCGATTACTTTCCGCTGTAGATTATGGAGTGCTCGCTAGGGTTGTCCTAGATTTGGAAGTGACCTTAAGCATTTTTAATTTAATCTATAAATTAAATCACACAAGAAACTTATCGAGTTCTAATTATTGATTAATTCGATAGTTTTTATAACTTCAAAACTGCTTTTCATTCATTGCATCCAATCTTAATTAAAAAATGTAAAAAAACCGAATGAAAGGACAATTAACTTTAAGTTATGCGTTCTATTTAAAATGAATTAAAAAAAGTGTTGCCAGATAATTTTGATAAAATATATATTGAATTGCTAAAACAATTGCAAAAAGATGAGTAATTAATTTTTATTTTTTATATATGAATTATTAGGACCCTACAATTTTGGCACTAAAACAATAGAATGTGGAGTAGCAGAGATAAATAGAGCAATTGATGGGGAGGGTCAATATGCTCATTAAATAATAATAACTATTGAAACCTCCAAATAAGAAATTAGAGATTGTGTATAAGAAGAAAAAGATTCATGATGACATTGTAGATGAAGTATTTTTAATATCAAGGATTATTAAAGCTAAAATCAGCTAAGGAGTCTCTTTATAATCCACAGAGTGAGTAACGAAAGAAGGAGGAAAACTTAATCAAGAAATATTAACTCAACAAGGCAATCAAAACAGCCAAGGCTCAGGTTGATAGGGAACGAGAGGAACAAGCGAAATAGATGAAGAAGATTAGTAGTCTTCACTAAAAATCGATTGAAGAACAAAAGCAATAGATGTATTAGGAAAGGAGAACAAACAGAAACAAAGTCTAATTGGATGAATTTTAATCGAAATATAATTATTAATTATATTGGGATGAAAGAGTTAAGAAATTTGAAGAGGAGTAAAAAAAAGTTAAACATCAGTTATCTAAATCTATGATGGATCAAGAGAATTTAATGAACTATTTGGAACAACAGGAAACTTTACTTATGGGTAGGATGCAATAGAGTAAGTCATCTTAATAATTTTTATAACAAAAACTAGAGGATGCACAAAGACTAAAATCCAAGGAATTTGAATAAAAATATGGAAAACCAAAAGAATCCAAGTTTTAATAAATACTAGATATCAAGGCAAAATAATGAATGTATATATTATTAATTAATTTCAAATAAAATCGTTATTTTTCTTCCATAATTAAAAATGTTGTCACTAAAAAATCTATTTTCGTATTTTTTTTCGAATGAAATCAAACTGATGCTTTTCAACTTTAAAGTTATGATAATTATATTAGTTTTTATCTTCGAGATTTCATAATATTATTAAGCATTTTAAATTTAAATAGTTCTTAATTGTGATGATGAGTTTATTGTATTTACGACATCAAAAATTGAATTGAGGAGATGATTATTTAAGCATAACAGATCATAATACTTTCTATTTAAAGTGACAACAGTTTTATTTTTTTAATTTAAAAATCTCCTCTTTCTTTTGTTAAATTATACTGTGACTGTCTAGTTAATTGAGATAAATTATATAGGATCAAATTTAATAGAAACAAGTGCGTCATTTCCAGATTTAAAAATTTGGATAAAATCTTGCAAAATCAATAATATATTTATATGAAACTTGCCAAAAAACTCATTTACTCTTCACTTTTCTTAGGTTTAATTCTATTACTTTAGAACTTCGAAGCATCAGAATCCACTTTGGATGTCAAAACATAAAAAGAGGAGGTTTGTACAGAAGGTAAATAACAAATATATTTTAATTCTAGATCTTGTAGTAACTTAATCAGAGAGAGATAGTGCATAATAAATACTTGATAACCTCTATGATACAAATATCAGAAGTGATGTTACGAAGGCTGTTAATGAGCAAAATGTAGATGTCAACTTGTTCATGAATCTGTTGAGATATATAATCCCTTGGGCAATATTTTTGATTATATCTGTATTTGGTTGGATTTTCTATTGTTGCTATTGTTGTTGTGATAAGTAAGAGAACAATTAATATTATTAGAAAATGTCCACCATCCAAATGTTGCAAGAGAGACTATGAATTTAACAAACTATCCAAAATGGAACTCTATGTTCCAGTTGGTTTTGCTCTAATCTTGAATTTGTTGTTGTTCGCAGCATCAATAGCAGGATTATCATACTCTGGTGACGTAGAAAAAGGTATGAAGTCTGCCCGTTGTTCCTTGATATCATTGTTCTATGATATTGTTTATGGAAATACAGGAGCCTTTCCAGGTTTAGCTGGTCTTGCAGATAACATTGATTCTATAAATACAGAGATATCAGACTTTTAAAAATAACTAAAAACTACATTTTCCGGTAAGACATCGAAAACCATCAATCAAAAAAAGACTGATGTGATCACAGCCAATAATAAGTAAAAATATCATTTATATCATATTCTAGCATGAAAAGAGGAGCATCCAATGCAGCATTACCAGTTTTAGATGGCGGAGCTGAGAGTTACCTATCTTCACAAAACTTTGTATTTGTTTTATTCTATTTGGTTAGTTTGATTATATTTTGATGGCTTCATCTGATTCATCGGCCTCTACCTATACTTCAAATTACAATAGTTTGGGGTCAACTTACAAAGACTATTTAAAATGTACTCCTTAACCAGATGCTTTGTCTTCTTATTATGATGGAATGGTTTAGACATCAGAACAATTGGAAACTTACGCTAGTGATATCTCAGGAGACTCCTTTGATACTAGTACTTTAGAAAGTGGAAGTAGTACAATTGATGGATTTATTACCGATATTAATGATGCTAGCACAACTCTTTATGACAATACTAAAGTATTAGAAAATGCTGGAACCTATGCATCTTTAGCTCTTAATGTATTATTCGGTGTAGGATTGGGTCTAAGCATCGTATCAATTTGTTCGATCATTCTGATTGTTTTATTGAAGATCTATAAAGTAAGAGGATTACTTCACTTTACTTGGTGTATTTATGTCATTTTGATGATCTTATGCTTCTTGATTGCTCTCCTCCTACATCCATCTTCTGTCATATTTGCTGAAGTCTGCTATTATCTTGACTCATTTGTCAATGACTATGAATTTTATTAACAGACCAAATTCATTGATGCAGGACAAACTAAAGAGATTATATCGTCCTGTTTCTTCCCTGGATCAGCAAAAACACTATTCGAAGTCATGGACTTAGCCTCAGCTACTGATCCTTTGGTTAGTTTTAAGGAACAGATCTCTGATTTTCAGACTTAATACTCTTCATTCGATGGATAGAAAAAGGACTTTAATGACAAATTGAATAACAACCTCTTAGCAGTTCAAAATTGTAAGGATGGTACAGTCTTTGATGCAAAACCAGCAGACTATGCTCCATTAAAAGCAGCCTTTGAAAAATTCAATAATTTCAAATCAAACTCTGGATGCGTTGAATTGGCAGTCTCCAAATGTGCAGATGGATTACTACCAATGAGATCTGCTTCAGACACTGGATCAACATTTAACCAGAAATGCTGGCATCCTTCATATTTAGCAACATCCACACCTTCTTGTGCTGATTAGAGTGGTTTGGCTGAAACTGCTGTTTTGAAGACTCAATACAATAAATAAACTTCAATGTGGTCAAATTCTGTCACTAAAGAATAGAATGTCATAACTTTAAATGCAGATGTGTCTAAGACATTTGAAGATTATATGGGTAAGATCAACACTTTTATTGGTGATGCCGATGCTATTATGTAACACTTGGATGCATTACTAAAGGGAGTTGATTGTTCATTTTTGAAGGTAAGAATTTATATCAATATTTTAGGAATCATTCAATAATGTGTTAGATGGTCTATGTGTTGTGTTTATTCCAGGAATATCCAGAACAACTATTTTAATAATCATTATCGGTGTTTCTATGTTTTTCGGATCATTGGCAAACTGCTGTGTTGGATTGAGAGCCTATAGAATTTAAAACTATGGTTTCAAAGATGGAGATCAACCAAACTCTAAGATTGCACCAAAAGATCCAGAAACCCAAGGAATGACAGTCTAGTGATAATTATTGATAATGTATAAAAATAACATAAAAATTTTAGTATTATTTTTATATTTAAATCCTATAATTAGCTTTAACTTTTATTTAACTTTTCCGAAATATTATATTTCATATTGTACTATTTTTTGATTACTCATTGAACTGTTAATTAAATTCTTAACTTAATTGCTATTAACTATGTTATGTCCATATATTCTTATTTAAATTTATTAAATCCTTCTAAGGATATGCTAACTCACTCTAATCCTATGATTGTTTTCTTTAAATAATCTATTTCACTTGCGTACTTATGATACAAAATCTTCTCTACATCTAATCAATTGTAATCACATTCTATTAATCTCATGCTCTCATTTTATTATAATTCTATTAAATCCATTGATTTCAAAATACGTTTATTTATTTTAGTTCAACATTCACCTATTTAGAAATGAGTATTCAACAATTGTATTATCAAATTTTACTCCATTGTTATATATTCTTATTTTTACCTCTTTAGATCAGGCTTTAATTCTACCATTTTTGAGTAGATTTATCCTCAATTAAAACTCAATTTGAAATTATGATATTATAGAATAATAGATGTTGTGTTTCTTAACAAATTTTCTGTTTTATGGAGTATACTAGGCTGCATTCTAAATGATATGGTACTTAAGTATGATGATTTATAAACATTATGATAAAATAGATTAAGTGCTTGGCTGTTAAATAAATTTAATGTAAAACAATTCACCCGTAAAAGGACGAAGAATTTCAAATCAAATCAAGTTGAGTGGGAAATTGATGAAAAAGAAAATGGCTTCTGAAGTGGACATTATTGGTCCATCGGATTAGGATACAAGTGCAGTTGAGCCAATTCAAATAGTTTAGTATGACAACTTGAAATCCCACATTAAGTAATCTTAAAGTGAACTCAAAGTTGGCAAGAGCACTGATAAAATAAAGAAAAAGAAATCTTTAGATCGCAATGCGGCCATAAAAAAGAGTCAATAATTGTATTAAAAGAAGAAGAAATCCTCTAAGATTAAAAAGAGTGTGAGTGCTGAGCGAGTTCAAAGTTAGACCGTTGAGTTTTCATCTCCAGAATATGTTCGCCGTAAAAAGGCAGCCACATTCTTCAATGATAAACCAAGCTCCATTTAAGAACATCGTGATAGGCTCGGTTTGAGCTTTCTAAATAAAATTGGAACCAGGAGAATTGACCAAATTCTTGAGCGTATATTTTGTTGCTATATTTGTGTGTAGGCAACCGTATGTCATCCATTGAACACTCACATCACCAGCCACTCACACCCGAAAGACATCAATATCCGCAACAATTGAAACACTATATGAAAGAAAAGAAAAAGTTTTACTCCTAACTTGAATCTGTCAAATAATAGTCCTTCGCTGAAAAACGTAAGCACATCGATGAGAATCTACGATCTCTGGCTGAAATCGCAAAACGCAATTCCTTATCCAATAGTAGATCCCCTCCAAGAGATACTTCCAACAAAGCAAGTGCCAAACCCTTGATGCTGAGTTATGTAGCAAATCGCAAAAGTACATCTAGAAAATCTGGAGGGCCAAAGTCATTAAAAGAATAATTCAAGCAATTAGAAGCTCGTTACAAAACTTTGAAAAGTAATAGTGATGGTATTTCAATGAGAGAATCTAGGAATTATGAATAGGAAATGAAGGATCAGGCTGCAATCTGTATTTAAAGATGGTTTAGAGGACACAAGATTCGAAGGATATCAAAACAGAAAAAAGATAAAAAAAATTTTAAATTATAACAGTTGTAGAAACTCAAAAATTAAGAAATTACTCGATGGGGTAATCTTAAGGAATTCTTAGAAAAATTGTAAGTAAAACAAGACATGATTGTTTTATCTGATTTAATTGACAGTTTGATAAAGCATACTGAATTCAATAAATTAAACGTGTTTACAGAAAACTTTGAAATGCCCTAGGTTAAATTAAAGCCTTCTAAATTGATTGTGGAGAGGAGGGATGTTTTTCCAACTTAAATTGGTTAGATCTTATAACTTCGAGGGTAATTGATAAAGGAAAGAGAATAAAGAGAAAAGAATATACTGAAGGATCTGTTGATTCAAGAGAGGATATCACCTCGTTCATTCGGAGTAAAGGAATAAGAGATCGTGAAGTGGGGGGAAAAGGAACTTGAACTGTTGGAACACAACAAATAAGCGATAAAAGAAGGGTGGTAGAAAGCCTATGATACTATTCAGAAAACGTAGAAGGATCTGAAATTTGTGCAAAAGTTAGGTGTGGATAATTTCAATAAAATGATGCCTCTAAGTTTAAGTCAAAGCAATCTATTGAAAAATCAACTTAATGATTTGAAGATCAATGTATTTATATTTTTCATAGACATTTAGCTTTTGAGAGTGAGTTATTCTGAAGAGAACTTGCTTGAACCACAAAAGAAAGTACATTAGTAAGAGTAGGAATAACAATTAGTGTCATACAATTCGAATCAATCAAACAAGACTCTTTCTTCTTACATTCAAGGATTAGAAGTAATAATTTATTTAAGTAAGGGATGTTCCATTGGAAATGGAAGAGTAAGGATAGATAGAAAATTTATAGTATGTTTAGACTCACGTTGGATATATTCGTTAATATTTGGAAGACATTAAATTAATAGTTCGAAATCATTATCAGGATCAGTTTTTGCAAATTGTAAATTTGGGTATTGGTCCTTCTCCTTTCGAAATCTTGAGGTTCTTTCGATTGACTGAAGAAATGATTGAGTAATCAATAGATGGGGGTTTCATTCATCAGGCAGTCTTGGGATTAGAGATATTTACACAAAAAGAGAAGATAAGTTAAGAAGAGGTTTGTAACAATGAGATGGAGAGAATTCACAATAAAGCCATTTTTGATGCCTTCAATGAATCATTGGATTACTTTAGACCTTTTGGAATCAAAGGAAAGCCATTGCCTTGGAGAAGGAATGTGATTTCCAGGTAAGTTAAAGATTTGGATGAGACTTTGAATCAATCTGCATCCAAAGTAGTGCAATGGGCTGAGACTCTCTGTGGAATACTATTGCCACAAGGAAGTCAGATAGACAACGATATCTTGCCATAGGTGAGAGAAGAGAGATTAGACAAGTTGTTAAAGTAGGAAGTAAGTCTATTGATTGAAGAATTAGGTACTTGAAAATGATGATAGATGGCAAGAATTTGATGAAGAACATACGGAGGTGACATTAGAACTGAGTGAATTAGTTTTTAATCATCTCATAACCGAGGTGATGCAGGAATTACGAAATTGATAAAGACAATGTTATTTATTTATCTCACTATTGTATTTCAAGGGCGACTTTTTCAAATGGATATTTGATTGGCTGTTATTTGTAGATTTTCTGTAAGGCCTATATAACAATTGTCCCTAGGTCTTTATCATTTCCTTCTCTCTTCTTCCTTCTTATTGTTTGCAATAGACCCCACAAGCATCTTGGTTCATTTGGGTTTTTGGATAGGACAAAGCAATAATAGTTTTTAGCTTGCGTGTAATTCTAATTGGAATAATTGATCTTTTAATTTGATTGAAGACTAATACTTCTGCTAATTTCATTGCTAAATGTAGATCTTATGAATTCAGCAATAAGACTTCTTCAAGACAGAATTAAGCCTTAGAGTAATTCAGATGTTCTTAGTAGATGTCAGACAACTCAAGCCAAGCTTCAGCATCATTCGGAAATGAAGTGAGGAAAATATTCAATAAGGATATTGCCTAATCCACATTGTTTTGTCTCTTTCATATATTTATTACATTAATTACTCTTTGCAATGCTATTTTCCTCTTCCTCGAGTTTTGATCCATCAAATTTTCAGACAACATCTTCTCATATACTACCAAAGCATTCTCATCCTCTCCATTGGCTTCTAACAAGTATCCCTTCAATCTTTAAACCTTTTCAGATGTCGGAAATTACTTTAGCAATACTTTGAGTACTTGCTATTGTTGTTACGCATAATTACATCGCTTGTGTGAATCAATTACATATCTATTGACAAATAAAACAATTCCTAAAGAAGTACTAAATATTCTGAACTGGAAGGTCTAAATTGTCTAATCAATTTATAGATCACGATTGAAAAGGCATCAACAATCCGTATGTTGCCATTCTTCATTTTATGGAACAACTGCTTTAAATTCTTCATGCTTTCCAATTATTCAATCACTAATTGATGTTCCTCCATTGATATTTATATTAATATTAAATATTTAATCAAAAAGCATAACTTTATTTAACAGTAATCAATGTTACGTTAAATAAAATATAACTATTCTGTTAACCAAATGCAGATTATACACAGAGGAAACTTCATTTATGAGACACTAACAAAGTACTTTAAAGTCTCTATTCTATACATCTGATTTATTGATTAATTTCTCTTTCCATGTATTTCTAGTATAGTTGCATTAACCAATACAATTCGTTATTGAATATACTTCTTTATAGTATTCCTTAGCTAAACAAAGAAAATAATAAATGTAATATTGTTTTACATTTTCATAATCTAGAATTATTTCACTTTATTTTTTTATTATTTAGACATTATTTCTAATTAATAATTATGAAATTGCAGTCCACTAAAGCCTTTCAATCTCATCTGTTCTGATATGTTATGCCTATCCTACTCAGAAAAATGTGCAGAAATATTAAAAGAAATAAAACTTCTTCATACTTTCTGCTAGTTTATTACTCACATTTAAGGTTAATTACTTTATAACTTCTTATAACAATTAGTAATTATAAATATAAATATCATAGCAATTACTGATGTGTGGATACCAAAAGTCTGTTTTTAAAACTCCGAAATATTCTATTCCCTAATTCCTAATGTAAGCCCAAATTCAACAAACCAATAGCATTCGGAATGCAATGCTAAATATCCTTTAAACAATATTTGACAGTTGTATTCTTGCAATTTTTCATACTCTCAAAATATAACCAAAACTTTTTCTTCTTTTCTTAATAAAATATTGAAACATATATTAAAGTGGGTCTCATAGTAAACACCATTCGTTTTAACAATGTATATTAATAGGACTAAGAATAAAGATAAATATAATACTTTGAATGAGGAATATTATTGATAATTTGCGTTGACTTTAATCACTTATGGGCATTTTTCATCTCCTTGTACTTCTTAAATAATAAATTTAGAGGGATTCAATTTCAACTATTTTTTTAATTTATTTAACATGTATACTGAACATTTTTAAATATCTGATTCTATGAATTCATATTGATCCACACTACAATCATTCAATTTTAAGTTCTACAGATTCCTCCTTTCATCGTTATAATAACTGTATAGTACTTTCCTCAGCATCAGTTTAAAATTGACAATTTGAGGCTGTTCAAAGAGAGTGATTCTTTAATACAACTAAAAGTTTTAACTCTCATTTAATCTGATAGGCATATAAGGTTTCAACATGTTAAATGGTTTTCTGACATTTTCGACAAACACTTCGAATAAGGCATTGACTTCATTGCCTAAATAGACCACTTAGGTGTATAGATTTTCTCTTAAGACTCCCTTAAAGGTATCTAAATTGAGAATAAATCGATTTTATGAATTCTTAGTAATTTAAACTCTGTCAATAAGTGATTCCCAAATTTTAATTTCGAAAGTAGAAATCATATCAAGGTTGTTCTTCCTTACAAGTATTTGATTAAAAAACAAATCTTTATCACTTGAATACAGATTTTCCATGCTACATTAATGGGAGATCCTTGGACTATTTCTATAAAACAAACTTTTATCTGTCTTCTATTGAAATTAAGATGTTGGCAGTGACAACCTCATAGGATTTGATTGGCCAATCGAGTTCTGTACTGAAAATTACTTGGAGAATTATTTTTTTACAAAGGCAGGTGGTTAAGTAGACGATCTAGCATTTTATCTACTTTGATCGCTAAAAGATTCGAGCAGTTTAGGAGTTTCATCATAGGGTTTTTCTAAGAATTCCTCTTCGTTATTAATGGAAACCCTGCTCTCAGTTAGTTTTTAGAGTTCTGATTGGGGGATAGCTCTAGCTTAGCTACGCATTTCACTATAGAAATCTTCAAATTCATCGGGATGGTTGACTGCCATTTCAAAGATTTTGTTCATTTCAGAAAATTTCCATCTGTTTATGTAAAATTAATCAATGGTTTCCTTGGTCACTAGACTGGATGGGAATATTGATTCTAAAAAGACAGGACTCATATTTTGGAAATCATTTGATGAGATATAACAACTGAAATTCCTACAGGTTTGAGGTATATACAATCCTATTTGAAATTTGTTGAGAGACAAATAAGATATGGTGATTATGACATACATGTTATTCACAATTTTGGTTGTTTTGTAAATAAACTTCTATCCTCTAAAAATAGGAGTCAACATTGTAGTATTTTTGAGTACTTTATTAGCTTCTTCAGGCATTTGTAAATTATCAATTTGCACATCCATAATCTAGGCTTGAGACTTTTTTCTGAGCATAGGATCACTGATTAGGATTGACAATTTAGGATGAGAAGTTCTGCCATTTTGCTATTCTTCAAGGATGTTGCTTCCATATGTTACTTCAGTGAATGTATTGTGAAGATCATACTTGGACTGACTAGCAATATATGACAATGGAATTTTGATTCCATGATAAGTGTTGGTTCTGTAGCATACCAAGTAAGCAGTCAATATTTTAATGATTTGGTGCAACACTTTGTCTTTAAAACAGTTTTGCAATACAACCTTATTACAGATACTTTTGATATCAGCAAAGTCCAAGACTAGTTTAAACACTTTGGTTCTACTCTCTTGAGGAGTTATTTGAAAGTAGAAATACGTGTGATCATTGGTTAATTAATCAGAATAAAATTTATTGAATTAATACACTTCGCATTCCACAAAAACCTTGCCAATATTACTCACTCTACTTTGAGCATTAAAGGTCTTGCGATGGAAATACGTTTTCATGAAATATCTTAAACGGCTTGAGGATATCAGCGTCAATTTCAATTACTATTTGAAATAATAAAAGAGAATTGTCTATTTTAGCAATCTATGGTTTTCATTTTTTATGAATTGCAAAGGATCAATTATGTACATCAATAAAAACTAATCTAATGCACTAAATTTATCTCTATTTCTGTCCTCTAAGCACACTAATTATCTATTGAATTGCAATGCCCTTCCTATTAATCTTCTTTGTATTTTGGCTTATGATTTAATCTAATAACCCATCAATTATGGCTTAATGAAAATATGAAGCATTTTCTCAATGTCTTGAGGGGAATCAATTGTTCTATAGAAATATTGATTCTAATTCAAATTGTAAAGTGTAATCTTGACCAACAGCTTTGATTGACTGATCAATTCATGCATGTTTTTCTTGAGAACTAGCAGATCTTACTTGGCTTATTGTTCACTCAGATACAAGAGTTTTGTGTCAAGAATCTTGGTTTCCTTAAAGCAAACTTCAACTTTTAAACTTAAATTGGTTTAAAAATAGTAAAATTTATTTTTACTTATATTGAACTTCGATCTATAACAATGAAAGGACTTACCATCAATTACTTCTTCATTTGATTGAGCAATTCCAGTTTCAATTACTATTTGAATACCCTCTTCAGTTTCTGTTTTATTTTGACTGTCTAACAATTCTAATGAAACTGTTTTATGTGAGTAACTCAGACATTTTATAGATGTTGGAGGTATTACTTGATTGCTATATAATTATTAATGAATTTCATTTTAAATGAATTCATCATAATGATGCATCCTTCTAGCATATCTCTACAGCATTATTAAATTGTGTCTGTAATTCTCTTGTTGCAATTCTTGAACTAGAGACAGTTTTTAAGAAGTTTCTTTTTTCATTTGCAAATGTTCCAAGATTTCTAGTTTCTTTTTTCTGCTAGGTAATCTGATACCAGGATCAATTGAAATACTTTATTTTTGAACTTTCCCATCCCTATTGTCAATTACCAAATACACTTGACCTTCTTCGTATAATACAAATCCAGTTTTTATTTATTTGTCTTACTTTAAAGTGACATTCAACATTATAAATGAATCTGGATATTCAGGCAGAAATGGCTCAGGTTCTGGGTAAATTATTAAACCTCTAGGGGGAAAGTAAGTCGACTTATAATCAAATTAGTGTTTAAATGAAATAATTGGCCCTTCTTATGGTTGGTATTCCTCATAATCAGCCAAATTGGCAAACTGAAATTCTGATAGAAAATCATTGACAAATTGTATATCTGAATGTGTTCTATCTCTAATATATTCATCCAAACTTTATTTGGAGACTGGAGGTTCAAGATTAAACTCTTCTTATTTAACTAAGTCTATTTTCTATTTTCTTGAGAATTCCAAAAATTGACTCCCATGAGTTTTTCTTTAAATAGGATTACGGATCACTGCTTAAGAAGCCATAATAGAGTCAAATCTAGGACTAGTCAAGGTATTTCTGTTATGAATCACAGAATATTATTTTTTTGGATTCCTTAGAGGAATTTCTTGAATTATATCTTTCTCGGAGATGTTCTCTATTGATTGTAAATGATTGGAGTAATGTTTTTGATCAGATGGAGATTGGGATGTGATAATTTTTGAATTTTCAGATTTATTATCATCTGATTCTTAAATTACAATGCTTTGTTCTCGGGAGCATTAAATTTCATCATTAAAGAGTAATTGTCGTTTATTTCTAGATGATGAAATTGATGGTAGTTCTTATTTTTAATGTTCAACAATTTTAATGGGTTCAATTTTTAATTGTTTCAAAAGCATTTATCTTTTGTTCTCCTTTTCTATTTGTTTGTTTTTGTAATAGGATCTAATGTCAATAATTTCATGTTGCATTTAATTTTATATTACATCTTTCATTGAAATTATTTTAAACCCGACAACAGATCTAATCAAATAATAATGGTTTTTTAGGGCGTATAAGAGTTTGGCAATTATTTCCTGAACACATTCAGATGATTGAAACACAATAACTTGACATTTATTGGATGGATAAAGAGATTATTACTTGCAATATATACTTAGCAAACCATTAAAATTTTGTAGCCGATCCTTTGAAAACCACCGTTGATACTCATCTAAGTAATTAGCAAAATTGTTAATTTTGAAATTGAGTGTGTAATGTTACATATCATTAGACAATTTAAAGTATACTATCAATTGTAATGCTTTGATAGATCTAACATCGGCAAAAATGTTCATGATATATTGCAATTAATTTTCTAATTAAGCTTCACTATAAAATATATACAAATTTCGCCAGGGGTAAAATCGTTTTGTATTTGTTCTTACTCTTCAGTGTCTTGAACTTAAGAGTTAGCATCACTATAGGCTCTCACGCAGATATTGGACAGTTTCCAGATCTTGATTTCGGAGTCAAAGTATAACTTTGATAAGAAAAACAATTCTTATTCTGGGAGATTGTAAAATTCCTTGATGATTTAGAATAACTATAATGAAAATGAAGAGACATACAGTTTTGGCTTTATTAGAGGTACTTTAGTCAGAATCGGTATTCTTTATTTCCCTGACTATCGAATCAAATCCGAAGTTTCTTCTTCTAAAAGAGCTTTTCATATCCTTCATTGAAACTTTCATTAAATTGCGACCCGTCTATTGGCTCTCGACCTTTTCACTTATTTAAGTAACAGTGATGGGTTTCTGCAGATTGATGGGAGTCAATTCAATAGTTTAGACAGATTGAACCTGCTTGATAGTTTTAGTGTATTTCCTATAGCAGGATTGAATGATAGAAGCTGCCAAGTTGAGTTATTCCATAGTGTATTTATTGAGAAAATCTGCGAATTGTTTTTCGTTTTGTTCAGAGACTTCAGTTTAAACTTTCTAGATAAAAGGAACTTAAATAATTTGTTACTATTATTGTTACTATTAGAATAGAACAGATTCGGTAGTAGGGTCATGTTGATCATCGTTTTACAATTAGAAGTTTTAGTCTTATATGGTTTATAACTTATGTATTTTTTATTCACTCTATTACGAGTCAGATTTAATATGGATGTGTTGAGTGCTTTATTTATTGAGAATACGAGGAATCAATCTATTCGATTTGAATTTCTTTTTACTCGTATTTTTTATAGGCTGGGCTGATTCGTTTTGTTTATTATCGTTTTTCTTTCTATGTAACACATATTCAGACTTGATCATAGGTCTGGATAGCAATAATTCGTCGATTGAATCCTTCTTCAACTCTGTAGTTTGCAATTGTTCTCTAACACAATCTACATTAAATTTACTTGTATTAATCCAGATGATTGTCCAATTGATAGAGACTGGTCCTTTTGGATTAGGTGTTATTGGACATTTTGGGAGAGGAGAATAGTCGATCTTGAGGCAAAAGAGATTGATTATAAGTGGAGACCGCTCTAGATGAGGACTTCTTATTCTTGATTTGATATTGCTTATATTTATTGCTGGAATCGTCGTATTTCTATTGAAATGATATGGTTCTCAATTTATCCTCGTATTCCATTCTAACCTTCTTCACATATTCTGGCATCTGGTACTTGGTTTAGTGTTAAGATAGCTGACCCACAATTTGCTGATATGACTTAACTTATTGAATGATGTGATGCTTGTGATAAGTGTAATATAAATACATTGAATGTTTTGTTTGGTTTAAGTGTGCCCACCTTTTTGAGTAATTCTTATCCGACATCCTTTTGGATATCATCCTTGAACTGTTAAAAGTCTACCTTCTCTTTTTCCATCAGCATTTCAAATTCCATTTTCTAACTCAATTTCTCGTATTTATCCTTTGCCTTAATGGTAGCAGGTGCATCCATTCCATAGATTATCTCGAAAATTTACCAGGATTTGTAGAGATTACGAAGTGCTTCCTTCTCAAATCCAACTTTGAATTGCGATTTGCCAATATAATAGAAAGCCTTAGCCAACAACAAAAACCATTTTTTGAATTCTTAATGAAATTCATCTTTGGTAAGATTGCGTAAGGAGTCGAAGGTGATACCCAAGCGATGCAAAATTTCAACATATTTATTACATTGATCCAACATATCATCTTTTCTATGCATCATCCTACAAACCTCGCATCCGTGAAACAGCAATTAGACATATATTTTTAAAACATTTTGATCATCCTCACTTATATTTATCCTTTTTGTGTAGGCAAACTTCTCCATAAAGGGCAATACTTCTTTGATATTCATCCACGCCTTTTGGTATTGGTTTTGTTACTCATACAATTAGACAATCTATAATACTGCATTACCTCTTGCTCGAACAAAATTGGCCGTATAAAATATCCCACTGGTATTTGAAATCGGAGTTGTAATCTAAATGTGAGTATATATTTTTGTACTTCCTTTGCTCGATTGAAGAACATCTCTGCTTGAGGGTTGTTACCTGATTTTAATAGGGATCTTCCATCTCTTAACAAAGTGTTGGCAAAATCAACGGCTGCATTAACCACAACTGGAGATTCCCATCCATTTTAGGATAGTGTCTGTAAGTATTATCTTTCGAGCCTTTACAAATTCAAGAGCTGTCCAGATTACATATAATAAAAGTGGATTATTAATTTTAATAGATTGTGTGTGATAAGATCATATGAATAGTTAACTTAGGGATCAGGGTTGGACATAGTGAAAAATGACTACAAAAAGTGAATATATAAATCATCAATAAATGAATTACATAGTTATATTTTAAATATAAAAGATGAACAAAGCCGCTGTGATTCTAATCTTGCTACAATATTATGTTCATTCGCAGACCACAACTGAGGTCAGCACAATATCTACTTCAAACAAATCCTGTACTTGCATACAAGTCTAGAGTGAAAAGGATTGCCACTCTCTTAATTGCTCTTGGGATGGAACCAAATGTTCAGACATCCCCGTAGTTTAATCTAGTAAAACTTATTGCGAACTCACCTCAATCGATCTATGCAAAAGCACCGAAGGTTGTGCCAACGTCTCAGACAAATGTGTCTCATTTGCTGGATGTTCTCTCTTCTTCTACACCTCAAATGATATATGCTAAAACATCTCCGTAAGATGTATAACAGATGGAGAGAAATGTATAGATTTAGACGACTGCACCAATTATTCAAATCAGATGAGTTGTCTAAAAGATTAAAACGGGATGTATTGTACCTGGAACTCCCAAACCTCGACCTGCCAATACCCCACAACCTGTGATTTATTGCCTCTCTCTCTCAACTCAGATTTGTTATGCAGATAATAATTGAAAACATGCACAGTCAAGGAAGGAGGAGGTTGTGAAACAAGTCAAGATAATTGTGAAAATCAAAAAATTTAATAAGCCTGCATAACAAATCTTGATTAAACCAAATCATGCATCTGGGATTAGAGTAAATGCAAAGAAAAAACCTGTGTCAATGCTCCCACTACCAATAGTACTCATTTGTAATGCAACACATATCTTCCCACCTGTACTGTGAATGACCTCCTAAACGGATGCTAAGATATACCATAATTGTGCACTTTATTAAAGACAAATAACAATTGTGTCGTCAACCAAAAAGGTGACACTTGCTACTGGAACAAAAATAGTTAAAAGTGCGAGGACAAAAATTGTGACAATGCTCCTGATCAATACACCACTAATGATTAATGTTTATCATGGTTAACCTCCTGTACAGTCAAAGCAGCTGGTGTCGGTTGTCAAACCAAAGCCTCCGATTGCGTACAATACACAACTGAAATTCAATGCACTCTAACATTCTCAGGGGATCCTTGCTTTTGGAATTAAAATAAATGTTTGGCTAAAATTTGTGACAATGCTCCTGACACCTATATCAATCATGATTAATGCTCCCAATTTTTATCAACTTGCACAGTCCAATAGGATCTAACTGGGTGTGAATCCAAAAAGGCCTCTTGTTCCAATTATCAAAAAGAAGACCAATGCGTATCTCTTATGGATGGTTCATTTTGTGCATTCCAAGATAATGTCTGCATTCCTCGTATTTGCAGCAATGCTTCGAAGGACTTGACAACTGATCAAGCATGTAAACGATTCTCTCCTGATTGCATGATTAAAGCAAATCAATAAGGATGTATCTTACAAGAATGTCCAAATATTGCAACCAAGGAGTATTGTGTATAAGATTACAAAAGTAATCAATGCTATTATGGAAGCTAATGCCAGATGAAAACATGTGAGAATGCTCCAAGTACATTTAAATCGGATGAAGAATGCAGAGCCTATTTAAATTCTTGTACCGTAGATGATGACTTTTTGGGTTGTAAAGTTCGACCCTTAAATTGTTCAGATCTCAATGAATTGCAATGTAAGGCATTGACAAATGGTACGAAATGCAGTTGGAATGATGATGATTCAAATAATAAATTCTGTCGATTGTTGAATTGTGCAGATGTTCCTCCAGATACTTAGACTGATGAATCATGTTCAAAATTTGATAAGAGTTGCACTGTTGCTGAAAACCCAAGTCTTTGTATGCAAAAGCCAGCCATTTGTGGGAATATGATTACGAAAGATCATTGTCTTTCAGTTGTATTAGCCGATGGAGAATCAAAGTGTAGTTGGAATGATGAAACCCAAATCTGCAGATTAAGAGTATGTTCAGATGCCGATACGACCAATGTGAGTGAGGAGAATTGCAGAGCTTTCATGCCTATGTGTACAATCAACAGTGATAAAACTGGATGCATTCAAGAACCAGCCACATGCAAAGGCTACAAGAGTCCTGATGTTTGCATAAAGCTAGTAGCAAATCCAAATAGTATTGTTTATTGCGGGTGGAATGGATGTGAAGACAGAAGTTGTTCGAATGCTCCCTTATAATTAGATGGAAATTATAGACATGCAACCTGCAATAGTTATTTAGATGGTTGCACTTTGAATGATGATCAAACAAGTTGTGTCCCTTAATTTACATCCTGTGATAAGATAAAGAATCAGATATAATGCAATGACACAATATTAGTAGATAAATCAAAATGCACTTACGATTTGACTGTCGATCCTTTTATATGTCGAAGTTTCCAATGCATCGATAATACTACTTCAGATATGACTCATGCCTTATGTGCGGCCTTTGGAGTTCAATGCACTTTAGGAGCTGAAGGAGCTGGATGTGTCAATTAGTTTAATTCTTGTTCTGATGTGACTGATTCAATATAATGTGAAGATACCTTAGTAGTGGGTGGAAAACAATGTTCTTGGGATGCATCTGCTACTCCTCCTAGTTGCAAGGATCGAGTATGTACATTTGCCTAAAACAAAAGTAGTTATCAAGAATGTGAAGCCTTTATGAGCACTTGTACTAAGGGAGGAACTAACGAAGTTTGTATAGATAAACCTGTTTAATGTAATGGAGTATCTGAAGCTAGATGCAATTATGTCAGATTGAAAAATGGAGGCTTCTGTTCTTTTGATATCACAATCAATGATGCGAATTTGTAATGTCATGCCAGAGTTTGTGCAGATGCCCCCAGCAATTATTAAACAGATACTCTTTGCAGAGGTTGGCTACCTACATGCACAGTCAAAGCCGATTAAACAGGTTGCACTGATGAACCTAGTGATTGTACTTCGATGATGAGAGAATAGTGTTTTTTGATTAAAAGCACTGGAGTAACTTGCTTTTGGAATACAAGTGGAGGTTCTGGCAATTGCAGAGCTGCCTTATGTACTGATGCTAGTAAGAGTAAGTTCAATACGGATGCTTTGTGTAAGAGTTTTATAGCAGGGTGCACAGTTGCAAAAGTTGGTGGTTGTATCGCTTAGCCTACAAGTTGTGATGGTTTAGAGCAGGATCATTGTCCCAAAGTGACAATCAATGCAACTGGAAAAGCTAGTAGTGAGAATAAATGCAGTTGGAATACTAAGACTTCTGTTTGTTAGGATAGATCATGTTCAGATGCACCAATTACAATCACTACTGAGAAGGGCTGTAGAGATTGGTTGAAAAGTTGCACTATAGGATTAACAAATAAAGGTTGTATTAATGAATATACTACGTGTGATCAAGTTTAGACTTTGAATTAATGTAGTCAGTTGTCCAGTGGGTAGAAATGCGGGTGGAATACTGGGTGTGTTGGTAGATAATGTTCCAATGCACCTGATAGCTATAATTCTGATGAATAATGTAGAGCTTATTTAGCGTAATGCACTGTCTAAGTTGATGGCACAGGGTGTGAATTGAGAAAATTACATTGTACTGAAATTGAAGTTGAAAAATAATGTGTTAAAATTGATGATAATAACAAATGTTCTTGGAATACTGTTAAAAAATAATGTGAGGATCGTTCATGTACTAATGCACCGTTGACCATTACAGTACACAATCTTTGTGAGGCTTATCTCTCTAGTTGCACCGTCAAATCTAATGGAAAGGGTTGTCAAAAGAAATTAGATAAATGTTAAAATTATTCTTTCATTGGTTAATGCAAAGCTACTTTAACAGGTTCTTTATGTCAATGGGTTGTTAACTATGATGTTGGATCTTGTGTAGATATATTGTCTTCATGTTCTACTTATATTACATAAAGTGCTTGTACTGTTTAAAGTGATGGAAAAGTATGCGTTTGGATTGATGGCTCATGTTATAACAGGTAATGTTAGCATGCACCTAAATCATTTTCAACACATAAACAATGTTAAGAATATGGTACTAATTGCACAACCAATGGAAGAGGATGCATCACCTATTAGAAATGTTCTGACTACAAATACTCTTCTGCTTGTTTATAAGGAACTGATGGTCCCTGTACCTTAATTGATCAATGTCAATAGATTTCTTGTGAGAGTGCTCCCACCACTTTAAAGACAGATTCAGAATGCTCAACCTTTCTCAAAAAATGTACAACAAATGGAAACGGATGCATAGAGAAAAAGAGATGTCAAGATGCTTATATAGCAGAGGCTTGCAAATTTAATAGTGCTGGTGAGAATTGTGCTTGGGTGAATGATAAATGTTTAGATAAAAAATGTGAAACTGCGGACACATCATTAAAAACAGAAACAGCATGTGAAGAATATTTCCCTGGAGCAAAATGCACAACTCAAAAAGGTGGTGGTTGTGTACAAAAAGGTAAATGCAAGGATGCGTAAATTGAATTAGCATGTACATCTTAATTTGATGGTAAGTTGTGCTCTTGGTAAGATGGTACTTGCAAAACCAAATCTTGCTTAGATCTTTTCGGCACTGATCATCAAACCTGTTATGCCCAATAAAATGATTGTACATCAGATGGAAGCAAATGCACTTCTATGAAAACATGCTCAAACACTTTAAATAAATTGTCTTGCGTCCTAGGAACAGATGGACCTTGCATATGGAGCAATGGTTAATGTTATAAGTTCACAAAGTGTACAGATCTTATCTATACTACTCATCAAGAATGCAACAATATCCATCCACAATGTACCACTAATGGAGATAATTGCATATCCATCACTACTTGTGCTAGTACTCCTTAAATTGCCTGTTATGTTGGCATTAAAAGTCTAGTAGCCGTTTAATGTGTTTGGACTCCAACATCCATTAAATTATCCTCTGTATAGTAA